ACAGGGTTTCTCTGTGGCTTTGGAGCCTGTCCTGGAACTAGCTCCATAGACCAGGCTGGTCTCGAACTCACAGAGATCCGCCTGCCTCTGCCTCCCAAGTGCTGGGATTAAAGGCATGCGCCACCATCGCCCGGCGATAGATTCTATTTTTAAAAAAGGAAAGAAAATGAAAATACAATGGGGTCAGAGAGGTGGCTGAGAGGATAAAGTGTGTGCTCTGACAGCCACACCTCTGCCCCTGTGGAAGGGGGAGAACCCACTCAGGCTGGCTGTCCTCCGCCCTCCACACCTGCATGCCCACCCACCCACCCACGCTGGCTGTCCTCCGTCCTCCACACCCACGTGTCCACCCACCCACCCTTGCTGGCTGTCCTCCGTCCTCCACACCCGCATGCCCACATTCTCTGAAGGGGCTGGAGAGATGGCCCAGGGGTTAAGATCACTGACTGCTCTTCCAGAGGACCCAGGTTCCATTCCCAGCTCCCACATGGTGGCTCCCAGCATCTCCAGTTCCAGGAGACGCAGCACTCTCTTCTGGCCCCTGTCTGTACACATGGCGCATGCAGGCACACAAAGTAAGGGGCTGGAGAGATGACTCAGAAGATTAAGAACCCACATTGCTCTTTCAGAGGACCCACAGAAGGACACTCAAAATCACCTGTAACTCTGTCTGGAGGAATCCGGTTCCACTGGCCTCTCCTGGCCCATACGCATACCTACACATGCATAGATTAAAATAATAAAATAAAGGTGGAGATAGATTGAGGAAGACACTCATTGACTTTTTTAAAAAATATTTATTTATTTATTATGTATACAATATTCTGTTCGCGTGTATGCCTGAAGGCCAGAAGAGGGCACCAGACCTCATTACAGATGGTTGTGAGCCACCATGTGGTTGCTAGGAATTGAACTCAGGACCTTTGGAAGAGCAGGCAATGCTCTTAACCGCTGAGCCATCTCTCCAGCCCCCACTCATTGACTTTTGACCCCACTCATGCACACACTAAGTGAGACCTCCATGTGCTGTGGAAAGCAGGAAGTGGGTTTCCAGTCACGCGTAACTGTGCACTGCTGACGTCTGGCAGGTTACGCAAGGTGTCTAAAGAAACAAGGCCAGACTTGGTGGTTTATGACTTTTTGTTGTTTTTTTGAGACAGGGTTTCTCTGGTGACCAAGCTGGCCTCAAGCAGAGATCCGCCTGCCTCTGCCTCCCAAGTACTGGGCTTAAAGGCGAGAACCACCAGCCAAACAGTGTAGCACATGTCTTTAATCCCAGCACTCGGGAGGTAGAGGCAGGCAGATCTGTGAGTTTGAGGCTAGGTGGGTCTCTATAGTGAGTTCCAGGATAGCCAGAGCTATGTAAAAAAGACCTTGTCTCAACAAACACAAAAGAAAAAGGAAAGAGCTGATGCAGCCTAACCAGGGCATCACCCATCACTGACTTCCCCTTCACAGCCAGGGGCAGCAGTTGTCCACAGAGTCCCTGCGGCAGCTTCTGGAACGTGCGCTGGCCCCGCTTGTGGATGAGGTGAAGCAAAAAGGCCTGGTTCCTGCCTGCCCCAGCTGCCAGAGGCTACACAAGAAGATTCTGGTACCAGAAACCATGGGTTGCCAAGTTACTTTTGTGTTTAGCAGGGTGTGGGCAGCCTTGCTCAGGAGCCCTGCTGGCCTGTGGCAGGAACAGATGCCCAGTCATTCTGCCGCCTACGGTGACAGGTTCTGCCCAAAGCATACTAATGCACTGGGCTGGGAGAGCACGGGGAGCAGATTCCTCTCTGTAACTCTGAATCATGGGCCTGATTTTCTGTGGCCCTTCGGGGAGGTCCCTGGACACAGAGGGACCCACTTCCACAAGTCACAGCTTTCTAGCTGTTAGAGCTTGAAGTCTGGTGCATTGTGGGACATAGGGAGCGAGTGCATATTGGCCTGTGGGATATACATTAGAGAGAGTAGTTATAGGTATGGCCTGGCGCATCATAGATACAGAGGTCAGTGCACGATGGGATGCCGGCCTAAGGGATGACGGGATACGAATTGTAACGAGAGTTGTAGCCCTAATCCACAGACAGTCACAGGGCGTGGTGAACTGTGGGATACGGAGCACTGTAATGCTAGGGACCATTCTTGTGACAGAGGAACTTAAGAATTATGGGATGTGGAAGGGCACCATGCCATCCGGGATACACACAGTATGGGGCAGTTCCTAGGCATTAGGGGCATAGTGCTTGAGTGGTGACTCAGCTTGCTGAGACACAGGCCAGTGCATCGAGAACATCCAGGACACTCACGGGCTTCCCGTGAGATGCAGCTGGGGAGAGGGCGAATTATGGGATACCAGGGTTATCCCCAAGCTCAAGGCCTGATGGGTTACTTTGGGTGGTGTGTGGGCTCCATGGGACCCTACCCCTTACCCTCCGCGACCCAGCTCCCCCTCCACCCCCAGCCCAGTCCAGCAAGCCCAGCCGCGCCTACACTCCTCTCCCCAGGAGCTGGAGCACCAGGCCTTGGCCAAACAAGTCAGGGCAGAGGCCCTGAGCTTCACCCTTCGGCTGGCCCAAGACGAAGCCGTTCGGGCCAAGAACCTACTGCTGACGGACAAGATGAAGCCGGAGTGAGGACTGAGGCGGAGGGCATGGGAGGAGGGTAAGGCCACCTGCCCTAGGCTCCAGCTGGGCCTTCCCAGGGCTGACCCCCACTGACTGTCACTGCAGGGAGAAGGTGGCCACTTTGGATTATATGCATTTGAAGATGTGCTCTCTCCACGACCAGCTCAACCACCTGCCACTTGAGGGGTCCACGGAGGCAGTGGGGGGAGGAAGCACTGGAGGGGCTCCCCCTAAACATGGGGGCCCAGCCTCTGAACAATAAATGGCTTCTCACACTGGCATGAATCCTGACTCTTGAGTTGGCACTGAAAAGTAGTCATCAGGTGTGACTGCTGAGTCAGGACCGCCATGGGATCTGGGACAGCCTAGTTACACAGTAACATCTTTTCTCAAAAACAAAACGGAAGGGATACAGCTGGAAACAAAGAGCACTTGCTGAGCTGGCTTGAAGTTCTGAGGTCATCCGGACCAACCAGGTTCAGGAGCGCACCTGTCAACCCTAGACTAGTCTACACAGGAAATGCCAAGACAGCCTGAGAACAGAGCAGGGCTGGAGAGGAGGCTCAGTGCCTAAGAGCAGTTACTGCTCTTGCAAAGAACCAGAGTTCAAGTCCAGGCTCCCATCTGGTGGCTCACAACCATCAGAAACTCCAGTTCCAGGGAACCTGGCACCCTCTGCTGGCCTCTGCTGGCACTTCCTGTACACAGTGCACGCAACACACACACACACTGATGATACGGATAAAACTTGTAAAACTTTTAAAAAGAGAGGGGTGGTGGCACATGCCTTTAATCCCAGCACAGCCAAGGCTACACGGAGAAACCCTGTCTCAAAAAAAACAAGAATGAGAGAGAGAGAGAGAGAGAGAGAGAGAGAGAGAGAGAGAGGGAGAGGAGAGGAGAGGAGAGGAAAGGAGAGGGGAGAGGAGAGGAGAGGAGAGGAGAGGAGAGGAGAGGAGAGGAGAGGAGAGGAGAGGAGAGGAGAGGAGAGGAGAGGAGAGAGAAGAGGAGACGGAGGCAATCACCCTGGCAGAGAGCCCTGGACTTTTGCTGGTCCTCAGTCTCTCAGGTCCCAGGACAGCCCAGCCCTTCAATCCATTTTGCAAATGAGGTTAATAAAATGGAGGCATTTGGTTAAGAGTAAAGTCCTGGGACTGGAGAGGTTAAGAGCATTGGCTGCTCTTCCAGAGGTTCTGAGTTCAATTCCCAGCAACCACATGGTGGCTCACAACCATCTGTAATGAGATCTGGTGCCCTCTTCTGGTCTGCAGAGACACATGCAGACAGAACACTATATTCATAATAAATAAAATAAATCTTTAAAAAAAAAACCCTGTTACTGGCTTTGTTTTGCTTTGTTTTGAGACAGGGTTTCCCTATGTAACTCACCTCAAACTCACAGAGATCCCCTTGCCTCTGCTACCTGAACGCTGGGACTAAAGGTGTGACATCCTCCCCCGTATGAGACTGGGCCTTGCTATGTAGCTCAGACTAGCCCACCTCTGACTTATTTTCAATAGGGGGACACAGTGACACACACACCTGCCACACCCCGCCTCTGGGAGGCAGACACAGGAAGATCAAGAGTTCGTGATCACCCTGTTACCCCGGAAGCTCCAGAGCAGCCTGCCTGGACTCCGATGCCATCGCAATCCTTCCTCCCACAGGAAAGAAGTGCGGCTCAGATCTCAGTCTGGAGACTGAGTTTTTGTCCTGGGGGGCAGCAGTAGGTTCAGAGTGAGAAGAGCTGATTGGGTTGGTCTGGCCAGGGAGCTTCTTAGAGTGGAACCTGCCTGGGTAGTGGTGTGGGCTGTGGTGACAGTGGGGACAACAGGGAAGTAAGCTGGGGTCGGAAGGGTGCACACCCTGCACAGGAGCACAGTGGAGGCCACACCCAACTTACGTATCTTTATTACCAGGTGGTTGTGGGGGTCCCCATACCCCCGTCTGTGCCAGCCGAGCCCTGGGAACAGCACACTCCTTCCTAAGGGAGACCAGCTCCCTGCTGAGGAGCTCAAAAGTTGGTGGAGGTTGTGGGGACCTTGGGGTCCACAGGCTTACTGGAGAGAAAGCCATGTCTGTATCCCGAGTTCCCCCCAAGTGCCCTGACCCGGCTCTTGAGATGCTGCCCGGCCTGGAACAGGGTGGCTACATCCAGCAGGGCATCCTCGATGTGCTGCCCCAGCCGCTGCGAGTCCTGCAGAGAAGCAAACAAGGAGCTAGGAAGGCCTGGGAGGTCCGAGGGAGGAGGGCTGGGAGGTCCGAGGGAGGAGGCCTGGGAGGTCTGAGGGAGGAGGCCTGGGAGGTCCGAGGGAGGAGAACTGGGAGGTCCGAGGGAGGAGGACTGGGAGGTCCGAGGGAGGAGGACTGGGAGGTCCGAGGGAGGAGGCTGGGGCCTACACCCCTGCACTAATGGAGGAGGCTAAGCCAGGGACCCTGGAGTCTGAGTGACTCCATCCCAGATTTAGGAGGGTACGGAAGGCACTCAGTTCATCTCACTGTTTCTGTGCTCGACTTCTTGCTGGAGATATGGAAGGTGATCATGTTTTCTCCCGTGAAGATATAGGCGATGCCATACCCATGGTTGCTGGCCTGGGGTGGGGAGAGGGAAGCAAACCAGTAGCCCAGCCCCTCGTCCACACCCACAGGGCACCAATGCCCACCCCTCCGACCCGGCTGGTCCACAGCTCACTCACAGGCCCAAATCCACCTCCAGAGGAGACATAATCCGGGTAATTGTGGACATCAAACATGTGCACTTGCTGCACAGGGATCTGGCTGGTGGACAGCAGCCACTGCTGTGATTGGACCTGGGGAACAGGCGCTCACATGAGCAGAAAAGATCCTCTTTGCTCCACCGCAAGCCAGACTTCCTCCTACGCCAATCCCTCCGAAGTCCGTGACTGTCCTCTGACAAGGCCCCCTTCGTCCCTAACCACGTCCATCTCCCTCCCTGACCCCACCTCGCCCCTTCTGTTTGCCCCTTTTCCACTGCGCTCCTTCTTCTCTGATGGTGCTGGGGATTAGCTAGCTAGGCAGGGGCTCTACCACTGGGCCACACCCCAGCCCCTCACCGGGGAATTCTAGGCAGGGTTCTACCACTGAGGCACACCCCCACCCTTCACAGGGGGATTCTGGAACCGCTGTTCTACTGCTGAACCCCACTCTGCCCTCAGCCCCTCTCTCTGGCTTGGCTGTCTCTACAAATGTCCCGCTCCTTCTTTCAGCATCTCCCTCCTTGCTCACTTCTTCCCTCCTCCAGCACCCACCTGGGTCAGGAAGGGCGACGGCACATGGAGGAATCGGGACATGATGTAGAGCGCGAAGAGGTGGCGGTCGGTCCCCTGCCCGCTCATTGCTGCCTTCAGTAGAGCCCGGTGCTTGTCCACAGCTACTCGGAACAGGGCAAGGCGCTGCTGGTCCTGGGTCCCTCGGGCAGAGGTCATGAAAAGACAGAATCACACAGCTCGGGAGAATGCTGTGTGCCTGACTTTAGGACATTTAAACCCTTTAGAGAGCCACAGTATCTCACAGGTAAGGGAGCAGGCTTTGGGGACAGGCGGAGGGAGGGCGGAAGTTGTTTAGAGGCTATAAGTAAGTTGAGGCATGGTGTAGAGGTCATGGTCACAATGCTTCAAAGTGGCTAAAGTGAGGAGATCAAGAGAGTAGAAACGGTTCTCTGTGAAGTCGTCCTCTAGTGCTGAGTGTCCCCCCATCAGAGCCCCCCACACTCCTGGCCTGATGCTACTCCCTCATGCAGGGCTTTGGATTAGTCGCTTGTTGCAGGTGCCCCTCCCGGGTCCTTGTGAGCACAGGTGACAGGGACCTCAGCGAGGTCATACTCACTGTCTTCTCCTTGTCTTCCATTGCTCTCACAAAGTGGCAGGCCTCCCTGGTACAGCACCTCACCGTCTCTGTTCTGCCTTCCAGGAATAGTCGGGTCATGGCCGACTCATAAGTCAGGCAGAACTGACCCCTGTCCTGGGGGAAAAGAAGAGCCTGTGAGCTGGCCTCAGGCTGTCTTTGTAGCTTTGACCCACTTTTGTCCTGACCTCCAACCAACCTCCTTCTGCTTAAAAACACGTAGAAGGATCCGTATGGCTGACCCACACAGGAAGAACGATACAGAATAAGATGGCTGATTGACAACGAGATGATCAACCTACAACAAGATAACTGACCTACCAGACTCGGTGGCGCATGCCTTTAATTCTAGCACTTTGGTAGGTAGAGGCAGGTGGATCTCTGTGAGTTTGAGACCAGCAAGGGATACGCGGTGAAATGAATGACCGAATGACCCATGATGGATTAACTCGCAATGACAAAACACAAGGACACTGAGAGGTGGCTGGAGAGACAGGTGTTGAGGTTTGGAGGGGCTAGAGCCCTAAGGGAGCAGGCACCGCGAATGCCAACTGACCCGGAAGTGAGCCAGCTGCAGGACCAGTTGGATGAAACTGTCCGAAGAGACATGGCAACTTTTGATGAAGTTCTTGCCGAAGTGAGGAAAGGGGAAGACGTGGCAGTCGATGTTGCCGGATAAGATCTTAGCTCCCCTCAGGGCCAGAGAGATGGACGGCTGGAGCTGCCAGAGAAGGAGGTGGGAGAAATGACTAGCATTACCCTCAGGGCAGAGGCAGACCTGGGCATGGGTCTGGAAGGGAAGATGGAGATGTGGTCAGGTGGGGTGGGGTGGAAAGTGAAGGAAGGGTTAAGACGGGGCAAGAGCACTAGTGATGGACTCGGGTGCAGTCGGGATGGGTTTGAACAGGCTTGAAGGGACCAGGACTGATATTCGGGTGGGGCTATGGGTGCTGGGACAGCCCCGCTTGGGGAAGAAGGTGTGGAGAATAGAAGTAAGAGGTAGGAATAGGGCTGGGATTAAGGATGGGATGGGTGGTGGGCACAGAGTTCAGGGTGAGGTTGGTGTTGGGGGATAGTGTGGGACTCAAGAGGGTGGATATGTCTGACATGATCAGAAGGTTGGGGCAGTGAGGTGGGGATGAGTTCAGGGCAAAGGCAAGGGACTTAGAAGGGAGATCAGAGTCCAGCTTCACCTGCTCTGGAAGGTCCCACTGCAGGCGCTGGGGCTGCGGCAGAGCGGGGTCAGGCTGCCCCTTACAGTGGCCATCTGCTGCGTACCCCAACTGGAAGCAATCTGTGGCCAGGGTAAACTGTGGATAAAACTGTCAGTCATCCCCCGCTGGTGGGAGAGGCCCGGCAGAGCGAGGGTCTCTGTAACCAGGATTGTGGGATGTTTTAAGTTTGCACTGATGAGCGTCTGCTGCTCCACCTTCTGGGTCCACGCTTCTATCTCTCTCAGCTGTCTTATAAAGATGGGGAATCAGAGGACCCATTTTTGCTTCATTTTGAAACAGGGTCTAATGTAGCCTAGGTTGGCCTTGAACTTACAGTGTGGCTGAGGATGATCCTGAACTACAATCCTCCTGCCTCCAGCTCCTGTGTGCTGGAATGGCAGGCAACACCACAACAGCCATCTTAGGTGCAGCTGCCATGGAATCCAGGGCTTCAGGAGCAATGGGCCAGCTGAGCCCAAAGCCAGCTCTGCTTCATTCTGCAACGTGGTCTCACCCTGTAGCCCAGACTGGCTGTGACTAAAATACTTTCCAAGTATTTGGATTACAGACGTGTGCTACAACATGTGTGTGTGTCTGTCTGTGCGTGTGCATGGGTGGGGGCGTGTCACAGGCTCTAGGTTAACACCGTCACTGTGCCTTCTTGCTGTGAGACCCTGAAAGTTCAGTTCCCTTCTCTGAGCCCCAGTGACCCAGGCAGGTCAACATGGTAGACCCACTTCTTTGCTAGGCTTTCCTCTGCCTGTCTCTGAGCCTATGTCTCCAGTCTAAGGTTCTTCAGGGTTCGACTCTGGATACAGTACCCAGCCTTAGGAACGCACCTCCCACATATGTCCTGAGACAGGGCAGTCAGCCCAGGAGTGTTCCACGCTGAGGCCCAGCTTCCCATTGGAGAAGACGATGAGGGTGAAGGATTTGTCAAACCAGCTGCAGAAGAAGTTTGGATGGGTCATCAAGAGCCAGGGCTGGGAGGAGAATGTGGGTACCTGTAGAACTTATAGTGGGGTGTGCTTCAGGGTGAAGTGAGCAGGGAAAATCAGAAGGGGTGGCAGTTCTGGAGGCCTCTAGAAGGGCTTCAGTTTATAGAGGTGATTCCAGATAGTCTCCACATGGACATAAAATTTAGGAGTTTTTGTGTGTTTGTCCTAGGCTCTCTTTGAGGCATTGGAAGTGCTAGGAAAAGACCCACAATCTTGGGTCTACTTTTTTTTTTTAATATTTATTTATTTATTATGTATACAATATTCTGTCTGTGTGTATGTATGCCCGCAGGCCAGAAGAGGGCACCAGACCTCATTACAGATGGTTGTGAGCCACCATGTGGTTGCTGGGAATTGAACTCAGGACCTTTGGAAGAACAGGCAATATTCTTAACCTCTGAGCCATCTCTCCAGCCCTTGGGTCTACTTTTATGGTTAAATAATCCTCCATCATGGGACCACACAATGGAGAAGTTGATCTTGACCAGTGCTATGCTGTCTTCAGGCTACGGTGCGCTACACAGCTGTACTCAGTGACACAAATGAGCCATTAAGATACAGAGTCTGGGTCTTAATCCGGGCAGTGGTGGTGCACACCTTTAATTCCAGCACTCTGGAGGCAGAGGCAGGAGGATCTCTGTGAGTTTGAGGTTAGCCAGGTCCTATACAGCTAGTTCTAGGACAGCCAGGGTTACACAAAGAAAAGCTTTGTCAAAAAAACAAACAAAAGAGTCTGGGGTCTTGAGTAGATGGGTTCTCTGGGGTTAGAAGTCTCCTTGCTCTACTGAACTGAGTTTGGGCTTGCCAGATATGAGTGACCCCTGGGTCTAGCTGCTGAGGTGTGGAGTCTGGCTGTCTCCACTGGAGTGTGGGACGGTTGGTAGAAGGATAGACTTACCGGTCATCACCTCGGCCGGCCAGCAGAGCATGGGCGTAGGCATCCAAGGAAGTTGCCGGATCCTCCCTGGTCAGTCCCACGGGCTCAGAATCAAGGGACACGAAGAAGGCGGCCCCTTCCACGGCCTCCAGGGCAGTGGCGGCATGAGTCTTCACTGACTCTCGAGCCTGGGCCCACATACTCCTGTCCAAGTGGGATGGGCCTGAGCCCAACTGGCCTCTCCCTTGCCCAGACCTGCTCCCTGGAGCCCAGCTCTTACCCACTTGCTCTTACCTGGGAGCAGCAGTCAGAGCTGCTAGATGTTCCTCAAGGGGACAAGCTGGAGATGGGTCATCTAGGATTTGCTGGAACTGTTGCTCTAGAGCCCGTGGGGACAGCAGGTCATTGGAAAAGTGGGTCCCGACACGGAAGAATCGGCCCTGGTGGAGGACAGCCACATGTCGGCTGTCCTGGACATGACGGAGGTAGTCTGGAGAAGTATGGGCAGAATATGAAGGTCATAAGAACCACACCACTGACTAATCATGTGCTCTGCCCCTTTGTTATTTCTGACAGTTGTGTAGTATTCCACAGCCTGAGTGTAGCCCAGGTTAGATTCTAATAGAAATGTAGCAGAGGATGGCCATGAACTCTTGCTCCTCATGCCCCCACCTTCCCAGTGCTGGGGTGACAGGTGTATGCCACCACACCTCGTTTACCTGGTGTTTGGAATGGAACCAAGGACCTCCTGCATGCTAGGCAAGAAGTCTGCTAGGGCCTGGAGAGACAGCTCAGTAGTTAAGAACACTTTCTGTGTTTCCAGAGGACCCAGCACCCAGAGAACTGCTCATAAACATTGCGACTCTAGTCCCAATCTGATGCCCTCTTCTGGTCTCAACAGGCACTGCACACACATGGTGCACAGACATACATGCATGCACAGTACTCATACACATAAAATATAACTAAAGAACACGAGGTTCAGGGCTGGAGAGATGGCTCAGAGGTTAAGAACACTGACTGCTTTTCCAGAGGTCCTGAGTTCAATTCCCAGCAACCACATGGTGGCTCACAACCATCTGTTGTGAGATCTGGTGCCCTCTTCTGGCCTGCAGGCAGAACACAGTATACATACAAATATATCTGAAAAAAGAAAAAAGAAAGTCTAGCTGGAGCCACACTCAGGAGGCAGATGCAGACAGATCTCTAAGTTCGAGGCCAGCCTGATCTGCAAAACAAGTTCCAGGACAGCCAGGACTGTTAGACAGAGAAACCCTGTCTTGAAACACCAAAAAACAACAAAAGAAAATAACCAAAGGTCAGGAGTTTGAGAGGGTATAGGGGGCATGGGAGGGGTTGGAGGAAGGAAAATCAAGAGGGCAATGATGTAATTCTTCCATTTTTAAAAACTGAAAAAAAAAATTTAAAAACTCTAATGAGAGCCGGGCGGTGGTGGCACATGCCTTTAATCCCAGCACTCGGGAGGCAGAGGCAGGCGAATCTCTGTGAGTTCGAGGCCAGCCTGGTCTACAAGAGCTAGTTCCAGGACAGGAACCAAAAGCTACAGAGAAACCCTGTCTCGAAAATAAAAAAAAAAAAAACCCTCTAATGAGAAATTTTCTAGCTTGTCATACATTAAACTATTTTAAATTTGGACCACCTCAGGTCATTATTATTCCATTTCACAGCTGAGGAAAGTAAGGTTCGGAGAGGACAATGATTTGCCTGAGGCCACGAAGAAAGCATCACAAACAGGACAGAGACCCAAACAGGCTGGCTAACTTTTCTCAGCCACAGCCATTGTGGCAGGAAGGGACAAGGACTGGGTGGGGAGCGTCCTCACCTTTTTCCAGCCCTGGCACCCGTGTGGTGTTGAATATCCTCTCGAACTGGGCAGAACACAAGGGCCGCATTCCCATCAGCAGTGTCTGCGGGAGGCCAAGGGCTCCTGAGCCGGGCCCTGTGTGCTCCCGGCACCTCCAGCCCCAATCCAAGAGGTCTGCCTTACCGGTGGGATCTCCTGCTGGTTCAGAAGGTGGCGGTACAGGAGCAGGGCATGGGCGGCGTTGCCTGCTCGGGCAGCCTGCAGCGGTGTGGGCGTGACATACAGGAAATCCTGCTTGGTGGCAAAGGGAAGGGACACAAAATGCATTGAGACCACGCTTGTCTGATGGGGACCCTGACATCCAGACAAGCTAGCGGCTCCAGTGTTCTGGACTCCTACCATGGCCACCACGGCCACAAGGTCCCTGCCTCCCACAGCTGGCCCCCTTCTCACCATCAAGTAGTAGTTGCTGTTGACCAACAGCGAGCCTCGGGAGCGCAGGTACACAAACTCCTCCCACCAGTCACTCACCTAGGAGAATCAGAGAAGCTCAGCTGTGGTGGCCGAGACCTTGAGGGGTAGATGGTGTCACCAGGGAGGCCACAGACTCCCCTGTGTCACGGGCAGAAAGGATCTCAGCGCAACAAGTGGGTATGAGCAACTAGTAATAACTTATACGCCCACAGATGAAGGACTAGTTAACGATGGAGTGTTAGTAGCCATTAGACAGATGAAGGACTAGTTAATGATGGAATGTTTGTTAGTAACCATTAGATGAAGGACGAGTTAACGATGGAGTGTTAGTAACCATTAAAGAGATGAAGAACTAGTTAATGATGGAGTGTTAGTAACCATTAAAGAGATGAAGAACTAGTTAACGATGGAGTGTTAGTAACCATTAAACAGATGGACTAGCTAACGATGGAGTGTTAATAGCCATTAAACAGAGGAAGGATGAGTTAACGATGGAGTGTTAGTAGCCATTAAACAGATGAAGGACTAGTTAACGATAGAGTGTTAGTAACCATTAAACAGAACAAGGAAACTGCAGCAGTAACTCCGGTGGCAAGTGCCTGAGTTCAAGCCTTGGGGCACACAAAAAGGCCAGGTAGAGTTCTCCACACTTTAATCTCAGGGCTGCAGAGGTAGATTTTGCTGGGGCCACTAGCCACACAACCCAGCCTGCCACTGGCCACACAACCCAGCCTGCCACTGGCCACACAACCAGCCCACCCCTAGCCACACAACCCAGCCTGCCGCTGGCCATGCAACCAGCCCAATCAGCAGGCCCTACATCTCAGAGATGGACGCTGTATCAATAACTAAGATGGAGCTGGGGAGATGGCTCAGCACCCAAGAGCACTTGCTGCTCTTGTAGAGGACCTAGGTTTGGTTCCTCGCACCTACCTGGTAGCTCACAACTGCACATAACTCCAGCTCCAGGGGATCTGCCACCACTTTTTGACCTCCATAGGTACTGCATGTATGCAACACACCCACACATACAAATGTGCACACACTCATACACATAAAAACAAAAAATTAGCTAGGCATGGTGATGCACGCCTTTAATCCTAGGCTCAGGAGGCTAGGATCTCTGTGAGTTCAAGGCCGGCCTGGTCTACAAGAACTAGTTCCAGGGCAGGCTCCAAAGCTACAGAGAAACCCTGACTCTGTCCCAGACCCTTCTTCACACTCACAGATATCCTTCTGCCTCTTCTCCCTAGTGCTGAGATTAGAAACATATGCCCAATGCTTAGATTAACTAAAGTGTCTGTTAGCTGTCTCTTTCTGTATCCCCTCAACCTTCCATCTCTAAGCCTTCTGTCCTGCAATTCCAAGTCTTCCCAGGACTCCCTAGCTCCTTCCTGAGCTAGCCTCACTCTAGACTTCCCATCCTTGCATTCAACCACAGTGAGGCCCCCTTTCAGCCCTCGCTGATGCTTGCCCTAAATCCTTAAGGCCAACCAGATAGGCTCAGTTCCTGGGCAGGCTCTTCGCCTGCCTCTGAGGTATTTAGAGCCCATCGTTCCTCACCACCCCTCACACACACCTCTCTGCCTGTCACCTGGCTCCACTTTCCTACAGAAGACAAGACTCTCTGCCTCGGTTTCTCAGCTTAACTCATAGTGCAGCCAAGGGCCAAGCTCCCACACTAGCTCTCCACCCATCTAGGAAGCTGTCCTAGAAGCGCTAGACAGGGTCGTGTGGGAATTCTGGTGCTAACACAAGCGGTGGGACGGAAGCTCTATAAGTAATTCTAGTATTTGGGACACGTCTTTAAGCTCAGCATTTGGGAGCAGAGGCAGGTGGATCTCTAAGTTCAAAGCCAGCCTGGGGGCTGGAGAGATGGCTCAGCGGTTAAGAGCATTGCTTGCTATTCCAAAAATCCTGAGTTCAACTCCCAGCAACCACATGGTGGCTCACAGCCATCTGTAATGAGGTCTGGTGCCCTCTTCTGGCCTGCAGGCATATATTGTATACATAATAAATAAATTAAAAAAAAAAAAAAAAGCCAGCCTGGTCTACAGAGCTAGTTCCCGGACAGCCAGGGCTACACAGAGAAACCCGGTCTCCTGTCTTGGGGGGCAGAGGCGGGAACCTGAGCTTAGGTGGGGCTTAAGGGCTGCTCAAGGGGTGGGACTACTGAGCAAGGGACTTACTGAAGTTCCATTATCCAGCAAATCCAGGGCTTGGATAGGCCAATCGTGGCAGGGGCATGGCTAGGGCAGGCCAATCACCACAGGGCTGGGCTGGGGTCCCCTGAACTCACGTAGTTGGAAGCACACCAGGACTTGAGGCGCAAATAGCGCTGCAGCCGTGGCGCCTGCAGCCTCAGGAAGTCGCTTGCCAGAGCAGTAGCGCGGTCAAAGGCGTCGTCTCCAAGCACCGGGCGTACCGACTCCAGGTACTGCATGCAGAAGTGGAGCCGAAAGTCCGTCAGAGCTCCTGAGGGTCTCCCGGAACCACCCCACCCCGGGACACGCCAACCTTGCGTACGGACTCCTGTGCTGTGGGCACTGGCTGTCGTGGGAGGGCCCGTTGGAAGCTAAACAGCCTTGGGTGTCTCCCAGAGAAGATTCGGACCAGTGCCTGCCAAACAGGAAAGAACCGGGCTGGGGGAGGGGAGACGAAGATGATGTGGAGAGTGGGAGGAAGGAGATGGAGGGGTAAGGATGGAAGAAAGAGATGGTGCAGCAGAGACGACAGAGATGAAGGAGGAGGGGAAATGGAGATGATGGAGAAGAATGAGGGAGGACAAGATTATGGATAGGGGAGGGAGAAGGGAGATTATGGGGACCAAGAGGACACAGGTGATGTGCAAAGAGGGAGCTAATGAGAGGGAAGCCATTGGGAGACAAAGACCAAGAGGGACGAGTCTGGATCCTCTCACATACCAGCCAGGTTTTCGTGGGTGAGGACATGGTGCCATGAGGTTCCAGGAGCCAGCCATGATGGGACAGAAGCAGCCTCAGAGCCACATGAAGTGTGAAGATCAGGGCTCCCCACAGACACGAGGCAAACAGCGCTGCTGCCAGAAGCCCCCGGAGTTGATAGTGCTGTCCACCCCTAGGAGAGAAAAAATAAAGGGTGCCCTTGAAGCCATGCAGTCGACTGGAGCTTCAGGATGGGGGATGGGGACAACCACACTTGACAGGCACATAAAGTGGGTGTGTCCCTCTGCTGCCCATGACCAGCCTTACAGAGGCACCAAGCTTCTCAAAATCACTTTCCTGGGGTCAGGATATCCCATAATAATAGAGTGCTTGTCTAGCATGCAGATGCCCTGGGTGGGGGCACAAGCTAAAATCCCAGCACTGGAGAAGCAGGTAGATGAGCTAAAGTATATCCTCAGCTACACAGTGACATCCAGGACAACCTCGTCTATGTGACATCCTGCCACAAAGAAATCCATACATAAAGTCATGAGTTTTAGCCAGGTATGGGAATACTTTAATTTAGCACCTAGGAGGCTGAGGCAGGAGGATTTCTGGGAGTTCCAGGACAGACTGAGCTACAGAATGATTGACACCCCATCTTAGAAAAGAAAATAAAAGCTGGATGGTGGTGGCGCACGCCTTTAATCCTAGCACCCAGGAGGCAGAGGATCTGAGTTTGAGGCCGCCTGGTCTACAGGGCTATACAAAGAAACTGTCTTAAAATACAAAACAAACGAGCAAACAGAAAAGGATACGGGCATGTTAGTGCGTCTCGTCCACAGCATTCCCTGCAGTTAGGAGGGGATGCTCATCTGGAACACTCAGGATGCATTGTCTCTGCACTGCATCATGAATATGTTCTTTCTAGGGGTTTCTGTGTCTAACCTGGGCTCTGCCTTCTTTAGAAAATCTGCACCCTTTTCCCAGGGAAGTCCTGCGCCACCTCCTCTGGTCCCTGATGTGATAAGAGACAGCAAGCCTGATGTGGTGGCACTCACGGGTCCCAGGAGGGGGAGGCAGGCGGATCTCTGTGAGTTCGAGGCCAGCCTGGTCTACAGAGCTAGTTACAGGACAGCTAGGGCTCCATCAAAAACAAGAACAACTAAAAAAACTAAATCAGGCTAAAGAGATGGCTTGGTGGTTAAGAACACTTGTAGAAGACATAGGTTAGATTCTCAGCTCAAAACCATTTGACTCTAGTTGTGGGGGACCCAATACCTTCTTCTGGCTTCCTCTGGCACTGTAAACATGTACACAGACATACATGCATATATATATAAGGGGGCTGGAGAGATGGCTCAGCAGTTAAGAGCATTGCCTGCTCTTCCAGAGGTCCTGAGTTCAATTCCCAGCAACCACATGGTGGCTCACAACCATCTGTAATGAAACCTGGCGCCCTCTTCTGGCGTGCGGGCATACATGGAGGCAGAATGTTGTATACATAATAAATAATAAGTCTTTAAAAAAAAATAGAGTCCCAGCACAGCTGGGCAGTGGTGGCGCACGCCTTTAATCCCAGTACTCGAGAGAAAAAGGTAAGAGAATCTCTGAGTTCTATGGCTAGCCTGGTCCACAGAGAGCCTCTATATAGAGAAAGGTCTCAACATAGAGAGACCCTGTCTCAAAAACCAAAATAGATAAAGGTATAAAGTGAAAGAGAGGGAGTCCCCCCCTCTTTTTGGCTATACCTCTATTAACAGACATAAAGAAAGCTCCAGAAATTACATTTCTTTTTCGTTTGTTTGGTTTTTTGTTTTCTGAGACAAGTTTCTCTGTGTAACAGCTCTGGTTATCCTGGAACTCACTTTTTAAACCTGATGGTCCTCAAATTCATAGAGATCTGCCTGCCTCTGCCTCCCGAACACTGGGATTAAAAATGTACACCACCAATCTTGGCTCCCAGAAATTATATATATATATATATATACATATACATATACATATACATATATATATAATTCATTTTACATACCAACCAGTTTCCCCTCTCTCCTCTCTTCCTGCTCTCCCACCCCCAAGAAATTATATTTCTTTGACAGGCAAAGCATATGGAGTTTCTTGGTGGGGGGTTAGGGCCGTGACTGGGGTGAAGAGGAAGGTCCTTACCAGTCTGGAAGCAACTCTTTAATCTTCTCCATCAGTCCTAGGGAAGGATCCAGCTGGAGGAACCAAGCAAGCTGGATTGCACTGAAGAGGAAGAGCCAACTGAGGGGGCTTGCAGGGAGCACACCAGTAAGAAAGTCGTTCTGTGGTGAGAAAAGACACCAGCAGTCATACGTTCCCTCTGAGGACATGCGCTGTATCTCTCTCAGTGGCTTATTGGGACCTGGATGTAGTCGGAGCTCAGGATCCCCATTATTGAATATATCCTGAATATATCTGGAAGGAGGTGGGGGCGTGGCTCCGTGGTAGCACCTTTACCTTTCCCCTTGTAAGGAGGCTGGGCTTGGGCCTCTTCCTAGAATCAATTCACTATAAAGAGCGAGGTGGGGTAGGTGAGGCGGTGGTGGGGGCTCGGTGGTAGGGCACCTTCCTGGAATCCACCATTAAGGGACTGAGGGCATCATTCAAACTGGTTTGTGTTCTAAATTAATAAATTAAACCAAGCTAAGGTGACTTGAGTTGTAGAAGTTGGGGGAGAAGTGTGTGGGAAGGGTAGCAGGGGTGAGTGAAGCGAGTCAAGCGCTGAGCAGGGTAGGCCAGTGGGTGGGACAGGGCAGCCCCGGACTGGACATCCCAATCTTCAGCAGTGGGCTTCGGGCACCCCAGAAGCAGGCACCTGGATCCCCAGAACAAAACCAGCCAGTAGCCCTCCTCACCCAGACACGCCAGAGATGCCTTTTCCAGGAGCGCAGGCCTGAGAGGTAAATCTCCTGCCACACCGGGGAGGTGAGCTCTACTTCTGCCCCATCAGAGCTCAGTGCGGACAGCAAGCTAGAGGCCTGCTGTGCTTCAGCCATGTTCCCTGGGATCCCTAGGAGGAGGGTGGAGTCATCCTAGGATCTCAGGGCCTCCTCCCTCAGAACCAGGGGTGCAGACTTTGGGAGGGGGCGTCTAGACCCCAGCTCTCCTTCAGACCGGCTCCCCCCCCTCCCGCTCTCAGACCCCACCCCTTCCTCCCCACAGCAGGACCTCAGGCCTGCTCAGTTTGCCTAAGCACCCGAGGGGTGTTGCAGCTCACAGCTGGAGAGTTAGAAGGGCTTGAGGGCAGGCCCAGCCCCTGGGACCTCTGAATGTAGAGCGGCGGGAGCGCAAGCTGTCTTGCTGAGAAGTCAGTGCTCAGTATTTGGGATGGGGTAGGGAAACTGATCCAGGATTAGTTGCGGGCTTCAAATAAAACACTAGTTTTTGGACCCATAGGAAATGAACATCTGCCGATGGTGGCTCTGCTCTTTCCCATCGCAAGGCAGAAGCATGAGGGGTTCTTACCCTATGAGATCTGGAGAGGGATGAGAGCGGAAGCACCCTATTGCGCATGCTCGGCAGAGGGACGATGGTGATGAGTTAAAGGGGAGTCCATACAAGTGATGGAGAGCTCCACTCGACTACCCCAATGCAAGGTCCATAGCCCCTCTTGTATCCGTATCCAGCCCGGTACTTACGCTGTTCAGGGGCCAGCAGCTGCGGTTCCTGGGGTCAATCCCACGGACACCTCCTTCCCCCAGGCTCCCTTGTATATATATCCAGTCCCCGTGTAATGAGTCCACGACCTGATAACCCGTTTTCGGATGTCACCTTAGAGCCCAGATCCACCTCATTTGCACCTAACTTGGTGTTCAGGTCCCGGGTTTTATCCCCGCCCCCTCTGATCCCTCCGCGTTCTGTCCCAGCTCCTTTCCAATCCCTCCGCGTTCTGTCCCCGCCCCCTCAGAGTCGCAGCATCCAACCCCCTCACCCCAAGGCGCCTGTCTTGGCTTTTTGTTTCACCCACCAGAACTATCCAAGGCAGGTAGGTATAGGGACTGAAAGACAAGGAAGAGAACCACTGGGAGGGGGGGGGACTGGGGACTAGATTAAAGGTACACAATCAGAGGAATGGCAGGCACGAGGTGAGCACAATGAAGTCTGGCTTTATTCCACTCTGCACGTTCATACTTTGTCCACAATGGAGCCGGTGGTTCCTTGGGTCTACCCCAAGACAGACAAGCCCACTGTCACCCAGACGAAAGGGCGCTGCCCAAGCCTCTTTGCTGCAAACGGTGGAGAGCTGCGGAGGTTCTAAGGCTCATTTTTCCTAGTATTGCCCAGAGGCAGGGCCAACCAAGAGCTCAGTAGCAGGACCCAGGACCCTCGTACACCTGATTAAAAGCCAGCACTAAGTTCTCTCTCCCAGGGGCATCCTTAGAGCCTGCTAAGTGAGTTTGGCTTTAGTTACCCAACCCCATTTGGTCATAACACATAGGATCCAAACTCAGTTCCTGTTTCCAGTCCAGGGTGACCCAACTTCCACAAACACCAGTGGATCAGGAGAGCATAAGGGTGAGCCAGCCCATTTAGAAACAGCACAGGAAGGGCAGGACACGGAGGCCAGGCTCTGGTGTAGAGGCATAGATTTAACTTCCAAACCACAATCCAGCATGACTAGAAGCCAGGGGAAGGTTCCAATAGTCCCAGCTCTCCTGCTGAGGGCTGCCCCCAACCTCAGCTAAAGGGATGAATGTCAGGAGCTGTTGTAGGAAGGGAGGATGAAGGCTGGGCCTGTCCTTACAAGGTCCTGGACAGGTAGAAGAGGTCATGGGGATCCAGGGACTAGGTATAGCCCAGAATCCTATCCCAAGGTACAACCAAGTTCCCAGAAAGTGACAAGCTACCCAGCCACCCCTGCCCCAGGGTAAGAAGTAGATCGGTCAGCTGAGGATTTATTGGCGTAAACGCAACCATATAAAAACATAAGTTATGAAAAACACAGTCATGATGTACCCTCCCATCCCCCAAGCCCAGTCCCTAAGCCCCCTTCGGTAGGAGGCCAGCCTGGCGCCACCTCAGCGCATCCGGTAGTCGGTGGAGCAAGAGAGCTCACATAGCTGGCCCTTGAAGTCCAAGTCGATGGTAAAGTCCAAGTCGCGCTGAAGGGGAAAGGTGAAGACAGGGCTCAGGTGTGGCATTAGGCCAAGGCTGAAGTAGTCCACACCCTGCACCCTGACTCAGTGACCACACTATAGGCCATCTTCACCCCGCCGTTTCCCAGCCAGTTTGGGTGAGTTTCCGCATCAATGGGGTACTACCCAGCACCAGCAAGTACCCCTTTACCAGAGTCCCACTATGGTTCTAGCCCCCTGCAGCTTCCCCAAACCCCTTGCACCCATGCAACAAGGCTGGGCTGGGGAGTATTCTCTGGGGTTTGCCACTTTAACCTGCACAGGGAGAGTCAGGTGACTTCAGTGGCTCCATCCCTGTAGAAGGGCACTGAGCAAGGATCATCATTGACCCCAGTCACCATGCTGGGGCTTCCTAGGGTACCCTACCTCATGCCACCCAAGCTGACACTGCTCAACCCTGCTCAGACCCTTTCTGCACAGCCCACACATCATGCCCACTTCACCAAGCCTCACATTGTTTTTGGCGTTGGGCCTCATGCCAATGGTGCCAAAGATCTCCTCGCCAGTCTTCACTGTTAGGTAATCCTCCATGTAGAACACAGTCTGCTTCCAGTGTGTGTATGGGGACTCAGGACCTGAAAAGTGGGCATGGTCAATACCAGCCTCTGCCTGCGTGTAGCCCATGCTAAACCCTGGGACCGGCCTGTGCCCCACAAGATCACTACCAGCAAGGCTGTGAAGGCTGCTGTCCCTGCATTCTGCCTGTGTTTACAGAGCTACACTAGGATCAAACTCAGTCACTCAATCACTGGCGGCAGAGCCAGGGGGCAAGAGGTTCTCAATGCTCTACTCACCTTGTTCTTCCCAGAACAGGGTGGAGCCAGGGCCAGGGCAGCACAGCATTTTACTATTGAGCCATGCCTAGCCCCTCGCTGGGGGAGCTAGGCAGGCTCTCTAAGGCTGCACCTTCAACTGTCTTTTCTGAGATAGGCTATCACCAACTTGCTCGCCCAGGCTGGTTTAAACCGGACAGCTTTCCGCCCTGTTCCCAAGCAGCTCTGAGACCCTGGCCCAGCCCCACATGGCCCTCACTGGTAGAAAATCCGGTCCTCTTGTGGCATCGGGTGAACTCGATGTTGAAGTAGGCCACCAAGGCATGCACGTAGTCATTCCTCTTCACTTGTAGGCAGAAGGGGGAGGTGAAGGTCAGGTCCTCTACCTTGACTGTATAAATGTCCACCTCCTGCAGAACAAGCAAGCCCAGTGCTCAGAGCCCATTCCCCACCTGAGAACTGCTGCCTGTAAGGTCCCTCCCCGTTATAGCAAACAGCAGTACCCAGCAAACCCCACCCTATTTCTGAAATAAAGCCCACACTGATTCTTAAAAAAAAAATTATTTAGGGTGCTAGAGAGAGGGCTCAGTGGTTAAGAACACTGCTGGCTGCTCACCCAGGACTTGGAAGCAAATACTTGGCAGCTCCCAACTGTCTCTAACTAACTCCAGTTCCAGGTCTGATGTCCTCTTCTAACACCCAGACAACAGGCATACATACTTACCACAGACGAAACAAAACACACATCTTTTCAATCCCAACGCTTGATCCTCAGATCACAGGCATGCAACACAACCACAACCATCAAAAGCGCAGCAAGACACCCACCAGCCGAGCCAGTCTGCAAAGCAGCACCCCACCAGCTGAGTGCATTCTACCTGCTTTGCCCTTCTAGCCTGGACTACATACAACCAGGCATGGTTTGGGCCAAACTGTCTTCCCTAAGCCTCTGACAGATAGTAAGGGATTGGAATCCTTACTGCTGGGAGTTACCTTTATGAGGCAGGCATTAGTGACCAGCTGCTTCGGATCCACCACGTCCACCAAGGGCTCCTTGATGGCCACGTCTTTGATGCAGGACATATCGAAACCATATACATTCTCCCACCCTGGGTACAGATAGGGTCAAATGAGTCGCAGAACCCGGGTCACGCATCCACCACCCACCCTGCCCTACTACCCCCCACAGCCTCAGCTCACAGTGGATCTTGTAGTCTTTGTACTGTCGGTCCTCAATGGCTGTCACATAAAGGGTGGCCCGGTCTGGGAAGATGAGGCCATCAGGTGCCTGAGGAAAGAGCTGGGTGAGAACAAGAGCCGACTGCCACCTGAGCAGGCCCAGCTGCCCTCCCACTATGCTCCCTGGCTGTCACCATCCATTTATGGCTCACCCTCATCTTTGATCTGGTCCCAGGTTGTCCTACAGTCTTTAGGACCCTGCAAACACCCCAGAAGGAAAGCTACCCCCAAACTGTACAGAGTCCTCCTGACCCTCACTGCCCTGTCACCTCCCCACAGCTGCCAAAGACACACTTCTGATACAAGGGCTCTACACTGGCCTTCTTGAGGCCAGCTCCTCTCCCCTCCTCCCCTCAGAAAGCTATGCTCCACCTGAGCAGCTGATGGCTTCTTAACCCGGGGTGCCCACTATATCCCCAGCACACATGCAGCCTTGTGGGGACTCCCCTGCCTCACCAGCCACTTGTCACGGGCATGCAGCACGGTGTTGAGCATGGACTCGTAGAAGAGACAGTAGCCCATCCACTCGCTGATGATGATGTCCACTTTCTCCACGGGCAGCTCCACCTCCTCCACCTTGCCCTTGATGATGGTCACCACTGCAGCCACAGAAATGGGACGGCAGTCAGAGTGAGACTGGCCCACCTGGCTCCAGACACCCCCAGAGAATGTTGGTCAGGCAGCATCTCCACCTCTTTTAACAGGGTCTCGCAGTGCAGTTCTGGCTGGCCTGGAACTTGCTATATAGACCAAGCTGGCCTCAAACCCAGAGACCTGCCTGCCTCAGCCTCCCCAGTGCTAGAACTAAAGGGCTATAAAACTAGACCCAGCTCAGCTGGGCAGTGGTGGTACAGGCCTTTAATCTCAGGAGAGGCAGGCAGATCTCTGAGAGTTCAAGGCCAGCCTGGTCTACAATAAGACAGTTTCCAGGACAGCCAGAGCTACACAGAGAAACTTGGCCTCAAAACAAGCCAAACCCAGCTCAAGCCACAGAGCTGCAGCAGCAGCTTCATGTTGAGAGTGGCTTGCCCAAGAGCAACATTCTGCAGGTCTGGGCTTCCATCACTAGCCGTTCTCAGAGCAGATATATTCTCCCATTCAGTAGATTTAAAGCAGTAAGTAATGGTATGATCACATATTAAAATGAGGGTCAGTGAGATGACTAAATGTTTTAGGGTGCTTGCCACCAATCTGGGGGATCTGAATTCCACCCCTAGGACCCAGAGAATAGAAGGAGAAGAGACTCCCACTAATTGTCTTCTGGCCTTCACATATGTTCTGCGGCACAACCCTCATAAATAAAGTGCTAAGAACAGATAAACCCAACTACACAGCTAGCCAGACCTGATGGCACAGGCCTGAAAGCTCAAGGCCTGCTTAGATTACAGTAAGAGACCCTGAAGGCCGTCAGTCTAGCTCAGCAGGAGGGCCTCTGCTGTCCTAGTACTAAGAGGGAGAGAAAGAGTATAGTGAAGAGCTGCCTCAAGGCAAAGACACAGGCGTGGGTAGGTGCAGCATTTTGGGATCTGGGTGGTCGGTGCCTGCTTTGTACTTTTGTAGCTGGTTGGCAGCGGCACACCACACACCTTTAATCCCAACATGTGGGAGGCAGAAGCAAGCGGGGATCTCTGTATATTCAAGGACAGCTTGATCTACACAGTGAGACCCTGCCTCATTATCAAAACCCGACTGGGTGTGAATTGACACGTGCCAGAGGTTACCATCTAACAGACAGTTTAAACAGATGTGTACATTTGAGTATATGAACAAGGCCTTTAACAGAGGGAGCCAGGTGCCCTACCCTGAGGTGGGAAAATGCACACCGCTGCAAAGCCAACAGTGCAGTGTGAAGGAATTTGTGGACCCGCTGACAGCAGGTGGGGGATGCTCAGGAAGGCACTGTCAGTCATGGTCAGAGCGCACTGCTGGGGCCCTGGTCTGACAGCTGAGGGAAGTAGTAGGGGAGCAGAGTTCCTGTCTTACATGCGGGAAGCCCTAAGTTTAATCCTGAGTATTGCCACCCCCCAAAACAAAAACCCCAAAACCTAAAGCACCAGGGCCAACACCCCGGCACCCGCAGTACCAAACACAAAGGAGCCACTGGCTGCCTACTGAGGCCGCCAAGACACTGGCAGCAGATGCTCCCCATAGATCTTCCCCTTTCTCACCATGGTCTAACTTGTTGGCTTTGACAATCTTCACAGCATAATCAGAGATGCTTGAACATTCGATCTAAGGCAGGAAGAAAGGAGGGTTGAGTTCAGTCCTTGCTCTTCCAGCATCTCCAGGCCCAGTCCAGCCCAAGCCCCAGCAGGCCCTTTCCGAGACTCACCCCAATGACCTTGCGGGCTCCTGCCTTGGCAGCAAACATGCAGAGGATGCCGGTGCCCGAGCCCACGTCCAGCACAACCTTGTCTTTGAAGAGGTGCCGATTGTGAAACATGGAGTTGCGATATGTGAGGGTACGCACCTCATCCTTCAGCATCTCCTGGACGTGAAGACCGAACCAGAATGAGGGACACAGAAGGGCTGGGCGCTGAGCCTCATTCCTCCTCAGAGTCAAGTTTTATCAGTCCCACCCAAGCCCCAGGGATGAATCAGGAGGGCTGAGGCAAGAAGGTCCTGGGTTCAAGGCCAGTCTAGATCACAGAAAGACTCCACCTTAGCTATTTGGGAAATCCAGGCAGGAGGAGCAAAAGTTTAAGGCGGGCTCAGTTAGAAGGGCAGGAGCAGACACAGGTGGCAGCAAGCAGGCTGCATAGCTCGTGCAGCAAGAGGCCAACTCTTGGCGTCACCCCTCAGGCTCCAGCCACCTTGTTTTCTGGCAGGGTACATGGGACCTGGTGGCTGCAGCAGGCCCCACCCCTGGAGCTGGGGTTGTACAAGCACAGGACTATTCTTGTTCTAAAACTACTATGCATACAGAACGTAGAGGTTACTTCCCTACCTAGTCTGAGTTCCAGGGATCAAGTTCAGGCCACGTGCCTGAACCATCTTGTCAGCCCCGTGTCTAGCTTTTTAAGTGGGTTTGGGGATTGAACTCTGCAACTCATGCTTGCATAGCAAGGCCTTTAGAACTGAGGTTCGTCCCCAGACTCCCAAAAGTTTAATTTTGTTTTATGTGTATTTTCCAGTGTTTCGCCCTTACGATGCTGGGGATAGAGGCCAGGGTCCGGCATGCACGAGAAACTGCTCTACCCTTCAGCCACATTTCCAGTGGAACCATTGTTTTCTTGTTTTTTTGAGACAGGGATTCTCTGTAGCTTTGGAGCCTGTCCCGGAACTAGCTCTGTGGACCAGGCTGCCTCTGCCTCCCGAGTGCTGGGATTAAAGGTGTGCACCACCCGGGCCCAGCACGATGAGGATTCTTTACAATGCCATTTCAGTTGCACTGAACTCCATCAAAAGGGTTGTGGAAAAAGCTAGGGTAGCATGAGCTAAGTCCCACCGCTAGTCACCAGAGGGCGCCAAACACCGGCAAGGCCTGACCTCATCTTGAGGTCTGTGGCAGACAGGCGCAGTACTCCCACCCCGCCAGAAGACTGGCAGGCAGAGCCCCAGGCCTAAATAACCTATCTCCAAGGACCAGAAGAAGGGCAACAGTGCCCAGGCTACAGTCACCTTGCATCCAGCCTTGCAGCCCTTAAGGGACATCTTCACTTACCTCATGGATGCCAAAGTGGGCATAGGAGTCAAAGTAGTAGTCTTTGGACGTCATGTCCTCAGCGTTGGGCTTCTCACTGCTTTCTGCTTGACCACAGGAAACCTGAGAGCAGGGGAGTAGCAAAAAAGGTCACAGGTGGGCTCCCCAGAACCTCCTCAACCTGAGGAAGCCCCTCCAGCATCTTTCTTCCCCAAGGGATGTTCCTGCTTCCAGGACCCACCCAGAGCACCATCCAAGGAGCAGCCGCCTCGCCTACCATCTCTCCAGGCTCTATGCCCGTCTCTAGCTCAGCCCACAGCTGGGGAGGGAGGGAAGGGAGGGCAGAGCCAGGGCAGACACATGGAAAGCCAGGGGAGGGGGGCTGGAGATGGAGTTAAGGAAGCAGCCATGGTTCTGGAGAAGCCAGCGGGGCCAGGAAGGGGTCTGTCCTACGTGTTTAGGGGGCACAGCAGAGGAAACTGGTTTGAAGCAAGAGGACTGTTACACCCCCTGGGAGCCAGATGTGTATCGGGTATGCATATGGAAGTGGGCTGGGTGGGGGTCTCACAAAAGGATATTTACTTCTTCAAGAGGCGGCTGGAGGATCATCCCATTAGCCAAGGTGGCTACAAAATTCTAGGAGAGAGTAACAGGGAAAAAGGATTAGCTACTGGGGTGGCTGGGGAGGGCTCTGGGCAGTGAGTGTGTGCAGGTCGGCTTTTCCTGGGCATGGGAGTGCTGTAAGCAGAAGCAAGCAATGAGGCTGCAGTTGGGGAGGGAAGGGCTAGGCGTGGGGAGGAAAGGGAAGAGGGTCTCCTATCCCAGCTGTTGGCTGAAGAGATGGTGGCCCACCCCATGTGGTCCCCCTCTGGTCAGGTGACACGTCCCTATCTAGGCCAAAGGACCCAATAACTGCCAGACACACGGCCCTGCCAGCTGTTTCTCCCCTTCACCACCTAATCCCCCCAGATTAGGTGACATTTCCTGACACACACACCAGGCTCAAGTGCCATGAATAAACTGGAGGGAGGGGGCTGACAGGCAACAGGTGCTGGGCACCTGGCTGCACCCCCACAATCCTGTCTCCTGGCCTTAGAGAAATGTGGCAGACCACCACACCACAGCAGGTAAGTTCACTCCCCTCCAACTCCACCTGGACGAGGAACACAAAGACCAGCCTCTCTATCTATTTTAGCTGCGCCCCTGAAGAGGGTGCCACCCAGGGGTACAACACGTGTTTTGGAAAGGTGGGGTCAACCCCTCCTTTCACAACCCACCTGGGTCCCCACACTGATACAGCGCTCTTTTTTTCTCTGTCCACAAGTGCCAGGCCTACGGTCATTTCAGTGACCCTGTAGGCCAATTGACCTTCCTCTCCAGAGAACTTGAAGAGGTATGGGCCCCATCAGATTATATCCCATCAATGACTGCTATCCAAGCCTTCCCAAGCGGCCATGACCTACCACACTCAAGTTCCCCACGGCCAATGGGGGGCGTTCCAGTGCGGGCCTCTCTTTTACAATCGTCCAGATACCAGCAGGTTAACAACCAACTGAAACCTGAGACTAAGACCTGCCTAACAGGCCTGGTGGTGAAGATCAGTCACCTGAGCTACTCACAAGGCTTAAGAAAATGGAGGTGGCAAGTTCAAGGCCAGCCTGAACTACAGGGTAAGTTCAAGGCCAGCCTGAACTACAGGGTAAGTTCAAGGCCAGAATCACTTTTGCACCAAACTGAGGAAGGCAGCTCAGGAGTGGAACACTCAGCTGTAAGCAAATATCAATCAGGTGCTAAAATTTCATTCCTTTTCTTTTTGAGACAGGGTTTCTCTGTAGCTAAGGCGCCTATCCTGGAACTAGCTCTTGTAGACCAGGCTGGCCTTGAACTCACAGAGATCCTCCTGTCTCTGCCTCCCAAGTGCTGGGATTAAAGGAGTGCGCCACCACCGCCTGGCTCATTTCGTTTTTGGGGGGGAAATTAGGCTAAGGTGGAAATCCTCAAAAAAAAAAAAACCAAAAAACTCTCCCACCCTTTGGATGTCAGGTAGGGGTTAAGGACACTTGGCCAGGGGGCTGGAGAGATGGCTCAGAGGTTAAGAGCACTGACTGCTCTTCCGGAGGTCCTGAGTTCAATTCCCAGCAACCACATGGTGGCTCACAACCATCTGTAATGAGGTCTGGTGCCCTCTTCTGACCTGCAGGCATACATGGAGGCTGAACACTGTGTACATAATAAATAAATAAATCTTTAAAAAAAAAAAAAAAAAAGGACACTTGGCCATCCGAACTCCTTCTCCCCCAAGACCGACCTCTGACCATCCACCCGAGGGCGCTGCCAGGAGGAGGTGGGCTTTGGGCCACGCCCCATGAAGACGACACCCCTCTCACAAGCCCACAATAACCACGAGGGGGTGCCCGGCAACGGATCCTAATCTCATCGGCGGAGATGCCCCACTATCCTCTCAAAGAGAGGTCACAGGGCTCTGCCCATCCCCCCGCAACCGCACAAGGGTAAAGGAAGGCGAGGGGGATGATGCTCTCGGGCCCCACGAGGGTGCACGGACGCCCATAGCCCAGCCTGGGTGAGCGGCCGGCAGGACGCAGGTGGCATCCCCAGGACCCCCTGGGTGCAGCGCAGGTCACCGGGCCGGGGGCGGGGCCTTTGTCCCGCACGTGGAGCCCGCGGGGCCCCTCCAGCGGCACACCCCCCGCCCCACGCTACGCTGCGCGACCACGTGCGGCCTGGCAGGACGCGCCCCCGGCCCGCGGCCACGTGCGAGGGCCCTCGACTGGGCTGCGGGGTCCCAGAACCCCGAAAGCTGGGGTCACCCCCATCACGGTCAAACACATCCCCCGATGCGCCCCTACGCGAGGCCCAGCAGACCCAAGGTCCCGTCTCCACAGTTCAGGCCGTGGGCAACCCGTCGCGCGCCGCCCCCTCACGGGCCTAAAGGGCCCCGCTACTCACCTCCATGATGCAGTTCGCGGCCTCGGCTGCCGCCATCTTCACCCAAGTCCTCCGGCCTCCGAGACCCCCCCCTTTCTTCTCTCTCCCCCCCCCGACCGGGGACCGCCTTTTACCAGAGGGTCCACCGCCCGGCCCCCGAGACCCCGCCATAAGTTTTTATTGGCCAGCAAAGCCATCCATCTGCAACATTCACACTGCAATTGGATGGAAGATCCGTCGATCAAATATCAAGTGCCCGCCCCTCCTAGCGTTCAAAGGACCACCCCCCCTCCAATGGGCTAGGAAGGGAACAACTGTCTGTCCATCTTCACCAACGCGTCTGGTGATTGGGTAAAGTCCAACAAGGTCTTCCCGCCTCCTTCCGGCCAGCTCCGTCTCGAAGCTTCCCGGCGGGCTCCGCGCTAAGCGGATGTCGAGACCAGATGACCCGCCTCTCTCGTTGCTATTGGGTGAGCAAAGGTGACGCTCACGGTTCCTATTCCAGTCCCTTCCGTGACCGGTCAAGAACAACGGGGCTCATTGGCCCACAAGGAAGCAGGCAGCGCCTTGCACAGCAGCGACTGGCTCCTAGGGATGTCAGTCATCACCATTCGGTGGATTCTCCTGCTGGGACGACTCTGGGAGGAACTGGGGCGCGTGGGCGAACTATGGGGAAATCCCGAGTCGCTGGGCTGTAGATGGCGGAGCCTTCTGGTCAAGGGTCCTGAAACCAGCCAAGAGGCGTAGTGAGCGTCCGTGCGATGAGCCAAGTTTTGAAGACCTGTGGTCTCCTAGTCCTCCGCGGGAAACACCCGTCACCCTTTGTCTAGCCAGCTCCTACCCGTCAGTCATGGGCAACTTGGACGCCACCTCCTCCAGGCAGTTTCCCTGGATCCGCAGAAAGTTACTCCTTCTCCGAGGATGGTTGCCAATTGCTGGGTTTGTGCACCTACCTTTTGTCTTACCAGTACTTGGCCCAAGCCCAGGATCCTTTAAATTCCCAAATGAGCCCCTCTGATCCGGGCCTCCTCATGAGGTATGCGTGCACATCTGACCTGATTCTTTTCGACTCCTAACATTTAATTACTCTGTTAAGTGTGCGTGTCCCTGCGTGTGGGCCGAGACGCATGTCTGTGTTATACCCAGATCCGCCAAGTCCCTCAGGACACCGAGTTCTGTATGTAGAAGCAAAGAGCCTTTATTCTACTCGAACTCTGCGTATGTCCAAGGTATTAGAGCCCCGAGCTCAGTTAGAGTTGAGTTTTTATAGTAGCAAAGGTGGGGGTAAGGGATTTCTAAGGTTCAGGACCCCTGATTGGCTGACATTTGTCTAGGTGAATGTCCTGGTGAATGTGTGCTGGCAGGCGATCCTATCTACAGAGGTCGGAGCGTTAGGAATTTCCTTAGGATGATTGGTCTGTTCCTGGGTGATGCCTGGGTGGTCTCAGTTTGAGGTCCTTCCTACAACCAGGTATTGCCCCTCAGGGTAAACTACTGAGACTCAGCTCCTGCCTCTATTAAGCTTGTCACGGCTGGGGGTGATCGTGGTTGGAACGTTAAGAACTTCCTTTGGACAGTCTGTTCCTATTAAGCTTATCAGGGCTGGCTTCTACACTCCGGAGGTCATAAAGCAAACTTTGCAGGAGTCATTTCTTTACACCAGGTAAATGGAAGGACTTGAACTCCAGTCATTAGCAATAAGGTCTTTACCTTTTCACATCTGATTAGACAGTCTACTGTTTAGGCCGCGAGCCTAGAACTTGCAGCGCAGATCAGCCTGCCTGTGTCTCCCAAGTGCTGGGATTTAAGGTGTGGGAAAACCTCTCTCAGCCGCTATGATTTCTTTCTTTTTTTTTTTTTGAGACAGGGTTTCTCTTTTGTAGCCCTGGCTGTCCTGGAACTTAGAGATCTGCCTGCCTCTGCCTCCTGAGTGCTGGGATTAAAGGCGTGCACCACCTTTACCGGGCTCAATGTGATTTCTTGATTGACTCCTACCTACCTGCTACTCTGTCCCAAATATCAATAGCCCCAGGGCCTTTCCTGCCTACAGTTCACAGTTTATAGTCAACCCCAAGGATTCCCCTCCAGCCTTGGTGCTCCAACCTGCTAGCCCCTACAGCTCATCAGCCCTTCTGCTCATGAGCACCCCCAGGACCACCTCGGCTCACTTCAGCGTACCTGGGGCTCCTGCCGCTCTCGGCTTCCATGCCATCTCACATGGCGCCCCCACTTTGGGGATGGATTTTCTCTACAGCCAGTGAATACAGGGCATTCTAATACTCAGCTACTCTCATAAGAGATAACTAACCAGGAATCTGCAGCCCATTCTGATCGCTGCCTGGTGCACACTCAGATAGGATAGGGGAGTGGTCAGGGCTACCCGCTGGAATGCTGCGGGCTGTGTCTCTTCAGAAAGGCAAACATGCCAGGCGATGGTGGAGGGCAGGCTCCACAGCTACAGAGAAACCCTGTCTCGAAAAACCAAAAAAACAACAACAAAAAATAACCAAGACATTATTTATTCATTTATTTTGAGATAGGGTTTCTTTGTGTAGCCCTAGCAGTACTGGAACTCACTATGTAGCCAGGCTGGCCTCAGACTCAGAGATCTGCCTGCCTCTGCCACCTGAGTCCTGGGCATGTTGTCTGAAGAAGGCTTTGGCAAATCTGGAGCCTGCCCACTCAGCAAATGGCAGACTTGAGTACTGGGTTGACATGTGCTCCGTGGCTGCTGGGAATGTGCAGGTCTTTATGCTTCCGTGGCAAACACTTTATACTGATAGATCCATTGCTCTAGCCCCAATTTTGTGCTTTTGAAGCAAGGATTCATGTAGCCCACACTATGCAGCTGAGGATGGCCTTGAACCCCTGATCTCCTAAGTGCTGAGATCACAGACCTGCCCCACCATGCCCTGCACAGCACACAGTACATCTGACACACACCCATGAGACCTCTGCTCCACCACCGAGCTACTCCCTCCAGCAACCTCAGGGCAGGACATGGAGCTCAATGGTTCTCAGTCTGGACCGTGACCCCTTTGGGGGTCCAACAGCCCTTTCACAGTGTTGATCTAAGACCACCAGGAAGCATATTTACATTATGATTCATAACAGGTAGCAAAATCCCAGTCAGGAAGTGGCTATGGCTGGAGGGGGTCACCACAGCATGAGGAACTGTATAGAAGGGTCACTGCATTAGGAAGGTTGAGAACCACTGGCTTAGCTGAAGGACGTGTCACCCATAGCACCCCCCCCCAAAAAAAAAAAAAAAAAGAAAGAAAAAGCAGCTGGGCACTGCCAGAGTCGGTTGTGTGCCTGTTTCTTCCAGATTGAGATGTGTGGCGGACGAGGGGAAGCTCCTGAGATTCAGGAATGTACAAGGCTAAGACTCAGCCAGAAGGACTCCTAAGTCCTTCACCAGGGTCACAGAAGCAGCTCAGCATTGGCTGGGAGCCCAGCTCCATGTGAGGTGGTTGGCAGCTGCCTGGTGACTCTGCTACCGGAGGAGTGAATGCCATCTGCACTCAATCCATATGTCCACCCACCCCAACACACCTATACTTGTAACTTTTAAATACTTTTTTAGAAGCAGTAAGCCAGGGCTGGAGAGATGGCTCAGAGCTTAAGAGCATTGATTGTCTCTTCCAGAGGTCCTGAGTTCTTCTCAGCCAACACATGGTGGCTCACAACCATTTACAATGAGATCTGGCGCCCTCTTCTGGCATATACATGTTAGCAGAATATTGTATGCACAATAATAAATAAATGACTAGAAATCAGTAAAGCGGAGTTGGAGCGGCTGCTTAGCCGTTAACAGCCATTTTTTTTTATATTTATTTATTATGTATACAGAGTTCTGCCTGCATGTGTGCCTTCAGGCCAGAAGAGGGCACCAGATCTCATTACAAACGGTTGTGAGCCACCATGTGGTGGTTGGGAATTGAACTTAGGACCTCTGGAAGAGCAGCCAGTGCTCTTAACCTCTGAGTCATCTCTCCAGCCCCAACAGCAATTGTTCTTGCAGAGGACCCAAGTTCTGTTCTTGGGGCCCGTACGTGGCAGCTAACTGCCTATAACTCTAGCTCCAGGGGCTGTGATGCCTTATTCTGGCACCTTCCTTGCGTGTGATCACACACATATAAACACACACATAAATAAAAACCAATCTATAGAAATAAAGGGGCTTGGGCTGGAGAGATGGCTCAGTGGTTAAGAGCATTGCCTGCTCTTCCAAAGGTCCTGAGTTCAATTCCTGGCAACCACATGGTAGCTCACAACCATCTGTAATTAAGTCTGGTGCCCTCTTCTGGCCTACAGACATACACACAGACAGAATATTGTATACATAATAAATAAATAAATATTTAAAAAAAAAAAAAGAAAGGGGCTTGCCGGTGGTGGCTCACGCCTTTAATCCCAGCACTCAGGAGGCAGAGGCAGGCGGATCTCTGTGAGTTCGCGGCCAACCTGGTCTACAAGAACTAGTTCCAGGACAGGCTCCAAAGCTACAGAGAAACTCTGTCTCGAATAAATAAATAAAATCGTGAAGGTGTTTTCATCCCTATTTAAAAAATAAAAGAAATAAAGGGGCTTGGAGACGACTCTGCTGTTATAACCCTCCCGTAGCCTCTGTAGGCACTGCACACATGTAGCGTGCATACATACATGCATATACTCGTAAAAACTGGTATTTCTTTTCTTTTCAAGACAGGGTTTTTCTGTATAATGTTTTCTGTATAATGTCCTGGAAGCCACTCTGTAGACCAGGCTGGTCTCAAACTCAAAGATTCACCTGGTTCTGCCTCCCGAGTGCTGGCACTAAAGTCAGCATGGTGCCACGTGCCTGGTGAAATCAGGGCCACCTTTACGAAAAAAGAAAGAGGAAGATGGGGTGTGATAAAGACCCCAACCTTGACCTCTCACCACCACACGTATTCCAGTTCACTGAAATACACATGTATACACACACACATAAACCCACATAGTCAAACACTTTAGTGCTCCGGTTAAAGAACAAAGCTTTTAATATGGAAATATTTCTAAACAATCTTTTTGGCAAAAAAAAAAAAAAAAAAAAAAAAAAGGAAAGGTGGCATAGCAGCCACCACCTGAGCCCTGAGAGGAAACACGTGTGTCAGCAGGCCCTGTGGGCACTCCTGCAGCAGCCTCGGGGGAAGCACTCAGTCCAAGGGTAAGTTCAGGTCCACAGGCGACACAGCCAGGATGCCTGCCTGCAGGGGACAGAGCCCATAAGCTGGACTTCCACTGAAGGGATCAGATACCCATAGAGGGAGACGGAAAGGCAAAAAAGGGACAGAATCCTGGCACTTAAGTAATTCAGTGGCTAGCCATTCTGTGCTGGTTTCAGTCCTATGTCTTTTAACTCTGTCACCTCCCTGCCCAGTCTCTGGTCTCCCCTAAGTTCTGGCATCCCTGTTAAAAGAAGTGGGTATGCCAGCTTCTTAGATGAGTTTCACAAGTGCATCCTTCCTCTCCATTCTGCTCCAGTGTGGGCTGGATTCCTCCATCACTCCCCATCCCCCGAGCCCAGGGAATGCAGAGGAACCTACAGATGCTCGCAACAGCATATTCAATCTGGAGAGAACCTGCTGCCTCACCAATGAAACCCACAGTCCTTCCTGCAGGGACTGGCACCCATCTCCAGGCTTCTTCAGGTCCATCCATGAGGCCAGGACGGTCTATGCACATCTGGATCTCACAGCCCCCATCTCGGGATGATCAAGGGCCCTCCCATGGCTAGCTGTGTCTCTAGACCACACTTTTCCCCTTCTGAAGTGCTAGGCTCTACCATTGAGCTTTATCCCAACTTTGAGACAAGATCTAAGTTGCCTAGGCTCTAGCCCAGTATGTCTAAAGCTGTATGCTCTTGCCTTAGCCTCTCTGATACCAGGGATGACAGGCCTACACCACCAGGTACCATTTTCCCCACCTTTACCAGGGTCTCACTCAAGTCCTTGCTGGTCTGAAATCCTCTATGTATACTAGGCTGGCCTTGTCCTTATAGAGATGCCAGCCTCTGAGTCCTAGGATTAAACATGGCTAACGTGTGGCATCATGCCAAGCAGATTTACTTCTGTTTATATGTATAAAATAATAAACAGGGTCCAGGGAAGACCTCATTTGGTTTATACTCAACACAGAAAACAGAGGTCCATTAGACCTGGGTCACTATTCATCCCTGAAGAATCCCATCCTCTCCTACATAGCTACCCTAAAAAGATGAGAGGAGGGGCTGGAGAAATGGCTCAGTGGTTAAGAGCACTGACTGACCGGGGTTCAATTCCCACCACCCACATGGCAGCTCACAACTGTCTGAAAATCCAATTCCAGGGGATCTGACACCTTCACACCAATGCACATAAAATAAAAATAAATAAATCATAAAAAAAATTTAAAAAAGATGAGAGGAGAAGGGAGCTATAGGAGCTCCTCTCACAACTGCTGCCCAAGCTCGATGGGCATCAGAAGTCAGCACAGTGCCTGGCATACAGCAAGTGCTCAATAAGCATGCGATGGAGTAAATGGAGCTGGGAATTCTGGAAGGAAACCTAAGATTTCACCCATCAAATGGCAGTAGGGTAAACTGAGGCTTGGAGGGACGTGCGACTTACCCAGCCCCCATGGGCCTGGATCCAGGGCGCAAAGCTGTGTACATGTTCCACACTGAGGCTGGCCAGGGTGCCCCCCAGCCCGGCCACGCGTCGGCTCAGCTCCATAGCCAGAGCCAGGCGGGCCAATGGCTCCGGGGATGGCGGTGGGGGCGCCGGGCATGGCAACAAGGGGCTTGCACAACTTGGGGAGGAGCTGACTTCACGACTGGAGAAGAGTTCCACAAGGCGGGCGAAGGAGCCTGCTGACAGGCGAGCAAGTTTCCGGTGCAGAGCTGGGTCAGAAGCTAGCTGAGGGGCAGAGGGGCAGCGTCAGCTAATTGCACCCCTCCGCAACCAGCCCAAACACCAAGTCCCACCCAATCATCCTCTATGGTCTTGGCCATTGGACTTCCAGGAAGGGGGTCTAGCTAGACTCAGAGCCAAGCAGAGTTCAGAGTTCTAGTAATAAGTTTTCCTTTAGTTAAGAGCTCCTGAAGCCAAGCCTGGAGCGCTGGCGCACACCTTTGATCCCAGCACTCGGGAGGCAGAGGAATGCCAGCCTGATTTACAAGTGAGTTCCAGGACAGCCAGGAATAGAGAAACCCTGTCTCCAGAGGGGAAAAAAAAGAGTGGTTGAAGCCATTTATGGAAACCTTGTTTCCTACCAAATAATTGCTGTTACAGTACTGTCCAGCTCTGAAAGCTAATCAGGTTCCAGGAAACGCAGAAGCTTCACTTCAGCTGGCATTTCCTCCATATTCTGAGCTGTATCCTTACTGTAGTCAATCAGGGTTCTTTTGTTGGTTTTAGAACCAGGGTTTCACTATGCAGCCCTGGCTGGCCTTGAAGTCAGAGAGCTCTGTCTGCCTCTGCCTCCCAGGTCTGAGATTAAAGGCTGCGCCCACGTCCCACCTTACTTTGTTGAGATGTCTCCCTGGGCAGCCCTGGAACTTGTTCTGTGGCACAGGAGAAAGCTGAACTAGTGAAAACCTCCTGCCTCACATTCGCAGCTTGTGTCACCATGCCTACTACAATCAAATTTTACACACCTGCTCCCAGCCATTCTCTTTCCTGGCTCATGTTCTGGTCTCTTTGTTGTTTTTTGTTTTTGAGAATTTGACTTGGGGGAGAGGGTGGTGGAGAGGAATGTTAAGGACCTCAAGTCACTAGGCAAGGGCTCTGCTGTGCTCCAATCTCTAGTGCCTCTAGTGGTTTCTGTTGACTGGATTCCCCTGGCATGCTGCTGGTCCACGTGGCGACGCTCCAAAGCTCCTGTAAAGATGATCTGGTGCTCACTGAGCCCTGAAGCCTCACCTCGTCACCAAGACAATGCAAGTCCTGTTCTGCCCAGTCCTACTGCTGCCCTCTCAAAGGCATAGAGCATAGCCAGTCACCTTTTGGTTGATGACTTCTGCTTCCTCCTCCAGCAAGGCTACCAGCCTCCTTAGCAGGGCTTCCTTTTCTGTGGGTGGGGGTCCCTGGAACTCTGGGGGTAAGAAGAGAACGGACTGAGGAGAGGTCCTGGCCTCACCCCCACTCTCACCTGTCCCAGGCTCCTCTGCTGCTTACCTGGGCTGGGTGGAGATCTCAGTTGCTCTTGGACCAATTGTTCCAGACGCTGGGCAACCATGGCATAGAAGTCTGAAGTAGCTGGACCTGATGGGAAGAATAATTCTTTGTCTACAGAACAGGATATATTTATGAATTTTCTTCTCCAAACCATCTTACTAGACAGCAACAATTTTCAGTTCACAAAGGGGTAAAAACTAGACCATGAGAGAATTTGATAAAAGATGTGAAAATCCTTAGCCTTTCTACTTTGTTGCACCCTCAAATTAAACTGAAAATAATCGAGCTAAACTTTGGAGGTTCTTCCATCCACCAGGGCAAGCATAGCATTCCTGCTGCTACCTCACCCTGGTCCAGCTCCCAGATAAGCAACCGAGCAGACTCACCTCTGCAGCCACACCTTTCTTGTAGGTAAGCCGTCAATCAGGCATGCTCTGTTAAAATTATTTTTTAATTTTATGTATATGGGGGTTCTGCCTGCACGTGTCTATATGCCACTTGGGTGCATGGTGCCCATGAAGGCCAGAAAAATGCATCAGAGCTTGAACGACCCAGCAGCTGGGTTCAATTCCTACCACCCACATGGTGGCTCCCAATTTTCTGTAACTCCAGATCCATGAAATCCAATGCTTTTTCGATGGTGCACACCTTTACTCCCAGCACCCAGGAGGCAGAGGCAGGCGGATTTCTGTGAGTTCGATGCCAGCCTGGTTCCAGGACAGCCAAGGCTGTTACAGAGAAACCCTGTGTGGAAATACAAACAGTAAGCACACAAAAGAGAACAGAAAATAGTGAAAGAGGAGGTACCGCCAGGAGGTCCACCAGGCAGGGAGAGGAAGTGGGAGGAAGATCTCAAGTTCAGGGGAAGAAGGAATAAGAGACACCAGGGGCCAGACAGACACAGAGGAAGCAGGAGAGCGGGATGTACACAGAATGAAAAAAAGGTAAAAAGCCCTGAGGCAAAACATAGATGAAGAGAAACAGGTTAAATGAAACGATAAGAGCTAGTGGGACAAGCTGAGCAAAGGCCGGGCATTCAGAATAATGTCTCCGCGTCATGATTTGGGAGGTAGTTGGTGGCCTAAGAAGAAAGTCTGTTACATGGGACAGTCAGACTGTTTCACAGAGAAACCGTGTCTTAAAAAACAAAAAACAAACAAAAAAAAAGAAACAAATTTTTCTTTTATTTAATGAGTATGGGTGTTTTGCCTGCACGTGTGTCTGCGTGCCAAGCGCATGCCTGAAGACCGTGTAGGCCGCTTTCCTCTGCTTCCTGATATGTACTACTATGCCTCAGGTGCTGATGGCAGGCCTCTACTGACTCGACTACGGCATCAGCTTTCTGTAATCCAGGCTGGCCTCAAGCCCACAGCAATCCTTCTGCCTCAGCTCCCAAGTACAGATTACAGCAATGCGCCCCCACACCCAGGTCTACTGATCACTGATCAAGTCCCAATACCCCTTCCAGTCTTCCTCTACTACTTGACATTACCAATTGGCTAAGGAGTTGTGACTGACAACCATGCCTCCTGTCTCATGCCCTGGGGTACTGGTGCCACAAGTAGTCTTCCCTAAGATTTTTAAGAGCCAGGGAAGCACCTATGTAAGGAGACAATTACCTAAGAAGGGCGCCAGAGCACCTCCCCCTGGTCAACCACAGAATTGCTCAGTAGAAATCCAAGCTCAGCCCAGCAGTGGTGGCACACACCTTTAATTGCAGCACTCGGGAGGCAGAGGCAGGCAGAGCTCTGTGAGTTTGAGGCCAGCCTGGTCTACAAGAGCTAGTTCCAGGACAGGCTCCAAAGCTACAGAGAAACCCCCCCCCCCAAAAAAAAAATCCAAGCTCAATGCTGGGCAGTGGTGGTTTAGGCCTTTAATCCCAGTACTTGGGAGGCAGAGACAGGAGGATCTCTGTAGGTTTGAGGCCAGCCTGGTCTTCAACAGGAGTTCTAGGACGGCCAGGGCTACATAGAGGAAACCCTGTCTCTGAGGCTCTATTTAACGATGCGTGCCTGTGATTCCAGTACGAGGTAGGCTGACGCAGGAGGCTCCAGCAACTGAGACTATGTCTCAACACTGCCCTTACCCTCTAGAAAGAAGTCTAACTTTGAAGGGGAGGAGTTGTGGCTAAACCTGAACAGTGCTGGCCTTTAACAGGTACAAAAGCTCCTAGCCATTAAAGTTTCACAGGTAACCAGTGTAAAAATCTCTTACCAGGTCCCGAGTCATAGCAGGGGCGTAGGGGAAGGAAGCAGGGCCGAGAGGACTCCGGGGGAGGGGCTCCTCTACCCAGGGCACAAGGGAGGCATCTTCGGAGACGACTCAGGAAATCTGTTGGCTCCTCTTGGGCAGGGCTCCTGGGGACAGAATCTCAGAGTAACCCCATGGAAGATCAGTCTTGAAACTGGAGTCAGGCATATGGGGTCAGATCTGAAGGGAGGAGACAGGTGGGGACCAGTACTAAGACCTTCCAGTCTGGCCCTGGGGGAGTGGCCATTCACTCACCTGGGTGGAGTTGGGACAGGGCACCCAGCAGCTTCACCGCGCCTAAGGAAAGCTGCCAGAACCCTCAGTGTGTCCTCTCGGAGCCCCAGCTCTTCAGAGCCGGCCATGGAGGCACCTGAGGGAGAGGACGGAGGATGAACCAGTGGGAGAGTTGATTCTGTCGAGGAAAAAGGGTCGGAGAGAGGAGGTAGCTGAGTGCTAGGACTTCTACATCGAGGTACTTAAGTCCTTAGAGGCTAGGGTACTACCAATCCCAGTACGCCTTGCGGCACTCATTGGCCCGTTTTCCCCGTTTATTCGCCGAGCAGCCTGCTGGGAGATGTAGTTCCAACTACCTCTGGCTGGCTCCGGAGATCCTGGGAGCTTGGACCTCAAGAGAGACAAGACTGGCTGTGGCCGCCCCAGGAATGGTTCCCCTCGCTTTCTGTTCTGATCCTTTCCTGGAACCCCGCTCACCTTGTTCGGGGTTCTGTTCTAGTTGCGCCGGCGCCCACGCTTTCACTCAATTTCAACAAACTTTTCGGAAATTCAACTTTCCCGCGCCTGCGCACTGGGCCGACCTGGTAACCGCCCCAACGTAGAAGGGGCGGGGCGTTGGGTTGTACATTTGCATATGGCGTTCCCAGCATGCTTGTGGGCGGAAGGCCAAAAAAGGGCATTGAGGGAGTTGGGTTGCGCCCAGAAGTAGACTCTTTGCTTTTGGGTTTATTACCCAAATTATGAGAAAACTGTTTTCATCTCAAAATATCGTCAGAAAAGAAAGTCCCAGCGCTCGGAGGCTTAGCTGACAGGAGGGGAAAGGTGCGTGGCTGCGAGTCTCAGAACTACTGAGGCCCCGACACCAGTGTTGGCCCCAGCGCCCCACGAGTGCACGATTCCTCCCCGGTAGGTAAGGCGGAAGACTCGGACGGGTGGCGGCCTCAGGGCACAGCATGGGGCAGCCCAGACGCGCAGGAGCTTGGCGACCGAAAACCAGAAGGGCAGCGCGTTGAAGGTCTGCAGTCTCAGCACCCAGGCTGAAGACTGTAAGATTGCTGCAAGTTCAAGGCCTGCCTGGGCTCCAGAGTGAGTGCCAAGGCCGGGCTGGACCACAGAATGAGCCTCAGGCCAGCCTGAGTTATGTGAGTTGAAGACCAACCTGAGGCTAGCTTGGCTTACAGAGGGCGTTCGAGGCCAGCCTGGCCACATAGTGAGTCCCAGGCCAATCTGGGTTGCAAAGAGAGGTGAAGACCAGACTGGGCTACACAGCAAGTTCAAGGCCAGCCTATGCAAAGTTCTAGGCTCTTTCTAAAAACGTCAATAAAAACAATATAGGAAAACCAAAACAGAAGAAGCTTGGGGAGAGGCGACTGCACTTGGAAGCATTTAGGAGAAGACTGGAAATGAGCAAGGGAGCAGTCACGGTCCTGAAAAGACTAGGAACAGAGGGCTCCACCCAAGAAGTGGGGTGCCTGCTTTGGATAATAGAGAGGGGCTTACATTTATAAAAGAGAAGGAACCGATGGGTAGGTAAGAGTTTCTACTAGAGAAGCTGGGGTAGGAAAGACGGCCCCACTAGGTATGGAAGGGTGGGAAGGAGTTTCCCATTTGTACCCCACAAAAGAATGAGTGAAAGGCTTCTTCCGCTGTGGCGGGGCGCAGAGGTTTGAGTGCATTTGCTCCTTTACATGCATACTCAGGAACTGCCCTATGTGCGCAGGCCCCAAGCATGGGAACCTCGAAACCGCGGATCTTGCCCTGGCTGGTGTCGCAGCTGGACCTGGGGCAATTGGAAGGCGTGGCCTGGCTGGACGAGAGCCGCACTCGGTTCCGGATCCCGTGGAAGCACGGCCTGCGGCAGGATGCCCAGATGGCTGACTTTGGCATCTTCCAGGTGCGACGTTGGAGAGGCGTTCCTGGACGTAGCTAGTTAGGGGCGGGTCTTGCTAATGAAGGTAGTTGGGACTGGAGGGATAGACAGGAATAGAACCCGGAAAGCAAGTTCGGGTCACTTAGAGAACGTTCTGTAGTAGAGGTTCTCAGCCTGAAGGACAACACTTCCACAGGGGTCGCTCGTTGCATATTTACATTACAATTCATAACAGTAGTAAAACTAGTTATGAAGTAGTAACAAAAATAATTTTTTAAAAAGATGTTATTTATTATGTATACAGTGTTCTGCCTGCATGTACACCTGCAGGCCAGAAGAGGGGGAACCAGATCTCATAGATGGTTGTGAGCCACCATGTGGTTGGTTGCTGGGACTTGAACTCAGGACCTCTGGAAGAGCAGTCAGTGCTCTTAACTTCTGAGCCATCTCTCCAGCCCCAACAAAAATAATTTTTATGGTTGGAGCCAGCACCAGGAAGTGTATTAAAGGATCACAGAATTGGGAAAGTTGAGAGAATGAGAGATCTTTGTGGCGTGGGCTCGATTTTAGAACCCTTCAGGTTTGAGACTGCCTCATAGATGGGGTTATTGGTTACCAAATTAGCATGGACTAGTGGTAGAAATAGAGAGAATGCAAGACTTGGTTGGAAGGTGTCCTGGGGTGGGTACCAAGTAGGTCTTGAGTTAGCTTGAAGGTGGGCATTGTGGTTGGGTTTGTAATCCCAGCACTGGGGGCGGCAGCAGGAGTGACAAGTGGGAGCCCAGCCTCGGTTAGTGTGGAGACCCTGTTTCAAAGCCAAGGGAGATTTCTTTTTGGTGTTGAAAGGAGTGGATAAGGATAAGGATGGACCTAGGGGCCCGGTGAATGCGAGACTGTGGGTCTGAAGCTACATGATGGAACATGGTGGGAGGTGCCAGGAAGTCAGGGCAGAATCTAAATCCTCTCCCTTCCTCTCCTGCAATCACTGGTGTGTCAGGCCTGGGCTGAAGCCAGTGGTGCCTACGTCCCAGGGAAGGATAAGCCCGACCTGTCGACCTGGAAGAGGAATTTCCGGTCAGCCCTGAACCGGAAAGAAGTGTTGCGATTAGCCGATGACCAGAGCAAGGACCCCTTTGACCCTCATAAAGTGTATGAGTTTGTGACCCCAGGTGTGTAACCAGACTGGCTTGGGTGCAGACCTTGGGATCAGGAGGATCTCTGCCCTTCTTTCACCCCGCCCTCTCTCTGGACAGCAGCAAGGGACTTTGCACATCTGGACACCTCTCCTGATCCCAACGGCAGAAGCAGTCTGTCTGATCCCCAGGTGAAGAGGCAATCATCTTGCCCTGTCCCTGTTAGGTCAACCCTTCCTCCCCAGCCCAGCTTTTACCCTGGACCTCCATTCCTTTACCACTCTGCTCCCGTCTTGACTCAGCTGAGGCTGTTAACTAGACCGGCCCTTTCCTCCTCCAGGAAGACCTCCGGGAATTACTGGGTGACATGGTCTTGGAACCTCTCCCAGATCAGGGGTCCTCAGGCCTGGCTATTGCTCCTGATCACTCTCAACTACTACTAAGCCCAAATCTGGACAATCTCCCAAACCTGGCACCCCAGGAAAATCCACTGAGGCAGCTGCTAGCTGAGGAACGTGAGTGCCAGCTATGGGGTAGGAAGGGCTGCAGCAGGGGCAGCAGCCCCCACCCTAGTCCTCTTCATCTCTCCCTTTTCATGCCGCCACACAGAATGGGAGTTCGAAGTGACCGCTTTCTACCGGGGCCGGCAGGTCTTCCAGCAGACACTCTTTTGCCCAGGGGGCCTGCGGCTGGTAGGCACCACAGCTGATAACAGGACACTGCCCGGACAGCCAGTCACCCTGCCAGACCCTGAGGGGTTTCTGACGGACAGGCTTGTGAGAGAGTATGTGAGCCAAGTACTCAAGGGGCTGGGCAAGGGGCTGTTTCTGTGGCGGTCAGGGCAGTGTCTCCGGGCCCAGCGCCTGGGCCACTCCCATTCTTTCTGGGCTCTGGGTGACGAGCTGCTTCCAGACAGTGGGCGAGGGCCAGATGGAGAGGTTCCCAAAGACCAGGACGGCGTTGTGTTCGACCTTGGGCCCTTTGTGACAGGTGAGTACCCTATGGGGATTGACAGGCCATGGTGGTGGACTGTATTCAGAGCCTGCTCCTCTGCTCTGTGGCAAAGGACAGGCCTGCACCACCGCATTTGGGGGCTGGCTGCTGTAACTGTTGAACCTCGTGTAGTACAGGCATCATAAGATGCTCTGGCAACCATTTTATGGTGAATATGCAGAAATGACGCTGGGGCGGGGTTTGGCTCAATGGTAGTGCCCCTGCAAACTACAGGTAAATAAGTCCCCTAGAGCTCTGCTGTCCAGCAGTTTTGGGGAACAAGACCAGCACTTGCCTCCAGTGTTTTCCACTAAACACATGGGACCGCTGAGAACTCACAAAGAGCCAAGTGAGACGGAGAGTCTTGAAGCTGTTTTGAGAAAGGGCCTCTGTAGCCCAGGCCTCCCTAGGGGTAGGGCACCTGCATTTCTGTGAGTTTTCTGAAGCAGGGTCTCGTTGCTTCGGCTGGCCTTAAATACATCCCTCCGGCAGTCCTCAAAGGCTGGCATGACAGTGTCAGTTCAGAGACCACAGCAAGGCCCAAGTTGTTGAGGAGCCATCCCAACAGCCGCCTCCTACACTAAGCTACTAGGGCCCACCCTCCTCTCTGTGGAGCCCCTGGGTGGGGTGGGCTGACATCTCACCTCCATAGTGCTGCTGAAACAGGAAAGGAGATGGATGAGCTGTGTCTGCAGGGAACTGCCCAGACAGAGAAGACAGTAAGCTGGGTGCGTGGAAAGCGTAGAGGGTCATCCTTTCTTTTCTGACCTGACTCCTGGGTTCCCAGATCTGATTGCCTTCATGGAAGGAAGTGGACACTCCCCACGCTACACTCTGTGGTTCTGTGTAGGGGAGTCGTGGCCCCAGGACCAGCCATGGGTCAAGAGGCTTGTGATGGTCAAGGTGACAGCTGTCTTGTGCTTCTGGGGCTGGGAGGGTCCATGTGTAGAGGAACCTGCGGCAGCCAGGGATTAAAACTCCCAGAAGCCCCTCCAAGAAACAGCAACTCAGCCGGGGGGGGGGGGGGGGGGGGGCGCACGCCTTTAATCCCAGCACTCGGGAGGCAGAGAGACAGGCAGATCATTGTGAGTTTGAGGTCAGCCTGGTCTCCAAGTTCCAGGACAGGCTCCAAAGCTACGGAGAAACCCTGTCTCAAAAAACCAAACAAACAAAAGAAACAGCATCTTCAACAGGGCTCCACAGCCACTGTTCCCCGTCTTCAGCAGGGCCTAGCCATCACAGTTTATTCTAACACTAGATCCTGGAGCTGTCAGCTGCAAGTCTGCAGCCTTTGAAGTATTCAGCTCCCAGGAGCCCCATTGGTTATGACTATGGGAGGGGGAACTACAGTTCTTAGCAGCCCCAGCTTGAGGGAGGATCTACCCTGGGCTATGCTGGGAGCTTGCATCTGATTAGCGGTTTGCCCTGATCCATTCCTGCACCATGTAGGTTGTTCCCACGTGTCTTAAGGAGCTGTTAGAGATGGCCCGGGAAGGAGGAGCCTCCTCACTGAGAACTGTGGACTTGCACATCTCCAACAGCCAGCCTATCTCCTTCACTTCTGACCAGTACAAGGCCTACCTCCAGGACTTGATGGAGGAAATGGACTTCTAGGCCACCAGAGACACCTGAGCCCTGCCCAGCTGCCACCAATAAAGCAGTTTATGCCACCATCACGTCTGTCTGGTGTTCACGGTCCCCAAGCTGGTGATTACTCTACAGAGGTCTCAGTTTGCCCACATGCAGCTGGAGTTTAGGTGCTCCGTGAGTGAGGCCCAAGGGGCAAGGGCAGCATGGTTACCGGCTGTCTCCCCACGGTCCTGGAGAAAGTATCACAAAGGAGGAGGGAGACAGGCCAGGCCCGGGGCTACACGTTCTCCCTTCATGAGCCAGGGGAATCTGAGTAGTAATGGAGGGCAACTGGCAAGCCAGTGTGGGCAGCCTGACTTACCGGTAATGTTGCCCTTGTTGCCTCAGTTTCCTCCTAGGATCATGGACTGAGTCACTGCAGCCTCACAGGGCTGCTGACACTAGAGGCCACTCAATGGGGTCAGCTCCAGTGTCCATCAGACAGCTCAGCTGCTGTTCAAGGCTGGGCCCTGCCTCCTGTCACCACGTTCCTGGGTTTGGTGTGGACCCTTCATGATGTCCCATGTCCCCCTCCCCCATAACCCTTTTCTCCTGAAAAGAGCATTTTTTTTTTCTTTTAAAAAGAGAATCTCTAAGCCCGGGCTGTCCCTGAACAGCCTGAGATCAGCCTGCTTCAAGCGTGTACCACTACACCCATCTCTATTTCATGAAATCTTTAATGAAAGTGGAGGGGGCATGACAGAAGGGCCGAGACCATGGGAGTAGGCTAAGGGGCCAGGATAACGGGCAGGGGCAGGGCTGGGGGGGGAGCTCTCCTCTTCCTCACAGTGACCCCATCATCCCACTGTGGGGGGTGTGGTGGGGAAGTGGAGCCATAAATATGTCCAGAATCTCAGAGGCGCAGCAACAGGGTATGAAGTCTCAGAGAGGGGGCAGGGGCAGGCCAGGGCCACCCTTGTCTGGGGGCCCTGGCTCCTTGGGTGGCCGAGGGGGTCCTGGGGGGTCCCCCGGCTTGCGACCATGCTTGCGGAAGTAGCGGTAGCGCTGAACGTAGGCCCTCACCAGGTTGCTCACCTTGACAGGATTGATCTCCCCGCTTTTGCTGTGGCAGATCTGCAGAGCCAGAACAACTGAATTCCTGCCAGCCCCAGGGCACCTCACTTGACTCAATGATTTGGCCTACCCTATGCCCCTCTCCAGGACCCAGGTTCCCATCCCCACAGTCCCTCTACCCCACCTTGTGGACAGCCTTCCTCAGGATGTCCTTGTACTCCTCCTTGGTGATGTCTTTCTTCTGGTAGTATGGTTTGATGGCCAATTTCACCTCTTCCACTGCCCGTTCCTGTGTGTGCAGCTTCTTCAGATACTGGTGGGGTGAGAGAAGCACAGTGAAGAGCCAGTGAGGAGGGAGCACCTGCAGTGCCCTCACCCTGCCTGCCCTGTACTCCCCTTTCTGCAGTTACCCTAGGCCAGACCCTGGGCCACCCTGCCTAGCCAGGCCCAGCATTTGCTGGGAGACAGTCAGACACTACTGTTTCTTTATCAGTGTTGGAACTGAGAGATTGGGGTTGCTGGTGCTCTACCACCCGGCCCAGCTTGTTTACTAGTAGTGTCTCTAAGTTGCCCATTCTTGCCCTCAGCTTTTAAATCTCTTGCCTCAGCCTCGAGCGGTGTGTATCCCACACACAGCTGGTCACAACTCTCCCTAAGCAGACCTTACAGGCTAAGTAACAGAGACACCCAGCTTGGCTGCTCACACTCTGCTGCTCTGGTCCAGGTTGCCTGAGCTCTGGCAGAAGTACAGGAGGGGCTGAGCGATCAAGCCCAGGTGGCTCAAGCTGCTAAGGTGGACAGCATCACAGGGGGCCCAGTCTTCCACCGCCGGGGAACTAGATCCTGTGACTCATGGAAAATGGGACACCACCATCAAGGGAAGCTGTGCTGGGAGGCCGAGCTTCCTGGGAAAGCCCCGTGCCCACGACCACAGGAGAACTGCTTTCCCAAACACGCGTGTGGAAGCCAGAGACGGGACAGGGCCTGGGCCCACAGCAAGATGCATGTAGGCAAACGGACCCTGGAGAGGGCAGGCACTAAATACACCTGCTTAGGGCCCAGGGACACATGCGTCCCAGCTACAGGGAGAACCAGTTTCAGCTCTGTGGACCATGAGATTCTCAAGTAACACAGAAGAGGGGCCGCATGCTACACCACACGTCACACTTGCCAGGACAATACAAACAGCACAGAAAAGTCCTAGAAACCTAGCTGGCAGGGCATGGCAATGTTCACAAACCAGGGGCTGGGTGAGCTGAGGCCACCTGTTTCCACTACAAGCCTGTTCAGCCAGCGTGAGGCATAGCAGTGGTTAGTACCTTCAGTGGTGTCAGAGCCATGACCAGGTAAATCCATCTAGACAGGACTTAAAGAAAGCAGTCCAAGGCCCAGTGGTAGCAGCCAAAAACCACTGTTCCTCTTTGTGCCTGCAGTTCCTCACTCCAGCCAGGGATGGCCTCATCACCATCTCCCTTGCCTCTGGGCCTTCATAAATGCTAGGGCTACAGGCCTGAGTCTGTGTGACCAGCTCAGCCTGAAGTGCTTGACCTTTCTTTAAGAAACTGGTATCTCGCCCCGGGCGATGGTGGCGCATGCCTTTAATCCCAGCACTGGGGAGGCAGAGGCAGGCGGATCTCTATGAGTTCGAGACCAGCCTGGTCTACAGAGCTAGTTCCAGGACAGGCTCCAAAGCCACAGAGAAACCCTGTCTCGAAAAACAAAAACAAAAACAAACAAAAAAAAGAAACTGGTATCTCCCAGTTACATAAAGCAACCAAGAGGTACATTAAACGGGTATTTATAAACACATACATACAAACTATAAATGTTTTTAATTCTTTCATACATTAGTTCTGGAATTGAGGATGAAACCCTGTGCTTCTTGCAGGGAAGCACTCAACATGAGCTGCACTACTCTGTGGTTTTCTGTTGTAACTGCTCAGCACCCTGCCCCATTCACCTAGTCCTCTGATGCTCCACATTCATCTCACCTTGTCAGTGTCCCCACGTCCCTCTGAGCTGCTGCTTCCCTCTCTCTTGTCAGATGCAGGGGCTAGCCCAGTGGGGGTAGGAGGGGTAGAGCCACAGCCCCCTATGGGGAGGCTACCAGGAAGCAAGTAGCTGGAAGGGCCTGGGGGCAAGCCCAAAGAAGTGGGTACAGGAGCTGGGGTCACCCCCAGAGTGGAGGGTGGCTTCCGATGGCTGAGGATCTGTGAAAGAGAGTATGATGAGCCAAGGAAGGTAGAAGGGAAGAGGAGGCTTTGTACCCCCTCTGTTCCCTCAAATTTCCCAATGTTAGAGAGCAAAAGGCTCCTCTTCTGGCCAATACCTTGCCCTAAGGCCTGCTGGGAGTTGTAGTTCCTCTCCTACCCCGAGGCAATGGACAAAAGAAGGGGCTGTGGGGACTCTTCCCCATGGGAGCCCACCTGGTTGGTGGCCTGGATCAGCTCCTGGGCCTTTGCTCGACTGGCCAGGTTGGCTTCTTCCATCTTGAACAGCAGTGCAGTCACTGCAATGGACAGAAGTAGGTGATCAATAGCAGGGTGGGTAGTAAACCTCATCTAACCCTGATGCTGCCAGGTCCCTCCCTATCTTGATCCCAAAACTAGAAAACCTCAGTTAGGAACAGGAAAAAAAAAAAAAAGGATCTCCTCTACTGAGAATCACTACAGACGCCCAATGTTCTGGCACAAGGGGTATGTGTGCAGAGGCTAGGAGGGCCAGGATATGAAGAGGAGCTGGTTAGAGTAACGCCTGCTTCCTGACCCACCCAAGCCCCAGCTATCCCCCACCTAGCAGGAGGACAGCATGCTGATCAAGCACTCCATTCTGGGCTAACCACTACATACTTCTGTTCCATCTGTCACCTGTACATCCAAGACTGGACTAGACCCTGCCCTGTTCCATCTCCCCATCCCTTCTATCCCCCATCCCTTCCAGCCCCATCCCTTCTATCCCCCCATCCTTCTATGCCATCACCCTTCCCTCCCCTCATTTCAGAAGACTCACAGGCCAGGACACCACTGGTCGTGCAGTCCACACCAGCAGGCAGGTTCCAGGGCATGGGTGGGGGTAGCGTGGGCAGCTGGGAGACCCTAGCAGCTGGCCCATCCTCCGCGCCAGAGTCTCCAGCTGTAGACCCCGCACTGGGAGCAGTACTTGGGGCAGCTGCAGCAGTGCTGGTGGCTGTGGTAGTTGCAGGCTGCTGCTCCTCCTCCTCTTCCTCCTCCTCTTCTTCCTCCTCCTCTGCCCCTACTCGGACCCCAGTGTCCTCACTGGCTTCCTCTGGGAGGAAGGAGACTTCAGGGGTCTTGCAGCTGCTGTCCACAGTCTGTGAGTCTGGGGTGAGTGCAGGTGGAGGTGGGGCTACCTTAGGTGGTGGGGTACTGGGGGTCTTGGTGGTCCGCTCCTCCCCAGACCATGATGTCTCCTCTGTCCCCTTGGCACTGGCTGCCTGGCTGCAGCTGTCGGCCTTGGACTTCTTCAGTGAACCAGGCCCGCCACTGGCCGTGCTACTGCCCCCACTGCGGACCTTCTTCCTGGTCTTTGATGGCTTGGTCTTTCCCTTGGTCCCCTTTGCTTTCTTGGCCCCAGCTTTGGCCTTGGCCTTGGTCTTTTTGGGCTTGGTGCTACCTGGGGCCACCTTAGCCACCTCTGCAGGAGCTCGCTCATCCGGCTTGAGGAAGGGTGAGCGGCTTTCCCGGTCTCGGCTGAACTTGACCCCGATGGAGCCCAGGCCAGAAGATGAGGAATCCTTGGCAGGCGTGGTACTGCTGACACCCTCTCGGATGAGCACGGCCACCTTGGACTGCAGTTTCACCTTTCGGGAGGAGCAGGATGATGATGAAGAGGAGGAGCCGCTGCTTAGCGGGGCCTTCGGTGGCGGCCCTGAGCCAGGTGCTGAGTCCTTAGGTGGCCGCGTCTTCTTGGATGACCTGTCCCTGTCTCGGCCCCGGTCCCCCCCATCAAGGGCCTTCCGTCGAGACCCTTTTTCCCTTGAGGATGAGGATGAGGACGCAGCCCCTGAACGCCTCCGGTCCTTGTCACTCTTGCCACCCCGCTCATCTGCACTCAGACCCTCAGAGTCATACAGGACCTCTCGCTTTGGGGACACAGCAGGCGCTGGCGAAGGTGCACGGGGTTCAGCCTTCTCAGGGCGGCCCACTGTGATGGTCCGTTTGATGGCAAACAGGTCGTGGTCCGTGAGGTCCTGGATAGAGGGTGGTACAGCCCCACGGCGCCTGCTGTCACGGTCAGAGCCTGAGGGAGGCACAGGTGCGGGCAGCTTCTCCGCATCCCCAGCGCGCTTCTCGGCCCGCGAGCGCGATCGCTTTTTCTTCTTCTTGCCACCCTCCCGGCGCTTGCCGCGGTGCCGCTCACGCCTCGAAGACGAAGAGGATGATGCTGCTGGGGGTGGTGATGCTGAGCGCCTTCTGCGCCTGCGCTTCTCCCGGGAGCGTGAGCGGTGGCTCCCGCGTCTGCGGTCAGCACTGCGGGAGCGAGACCGGCGGCGGGAACGGGACCGTGAACGTGAGCGACGGCGGGCAGCAGTGTGAGAACTGACCTTCCGCTCCCGTGAGCGATGCTTCTTGGCATCCCAAGCTGGTGAGTCAGGTGGGGCTGGGTCCCCACTGCGCTGCCGCTCTCGTCGCGCCTTCTTGCGTGCAGGCGGTGGGCCCGGCGAGGCAGAGCGCTGGCGGTAGCGCTCACGCCGCTGCGTTAGGATTTTGCGGCGCAGGTCCAGGCCGCCCCAGCGTGAGTCTGCAGCCGGAGGTGCTGGTGGCTCACCCAGGTCTACCTGCAGTGCGCCCTCACCATCAGAGTCAGCATGCAGGGACAGGAAATCATCGCCCTCAGGGGCACGTGGCGCAGAGGCTGGGGGCGCAGCGGGAGTGGCCACTGAAGCAAGGGTGGCTACCGAGGCAGGAGGCTGCCGAGAACGCCCAGCTCGGAACAGTGACACTGCAACCCTGGGCTCCTCCTCGGGCTGCACAATCTCTCCTTCCTCGATCTCGGGATCAGTCGGGGGTAGTGGTGGCAGTGGCAGCACTGACCCTCCAGCTGTCACTACTTCCACCGACACCTTGCCCTCAAGACAGGCTTCAGCCTCAGGTCCCACCACGAAGACCCTGCGGCGCGGGGCTCCTTCAGCCCGTGTGGAGTCCACCTGTGGTGGCGTCCCTGGGGCTCCCAGCGTCTGCGGGGGCGGGGGCTCCGGGCGGGGGCTTTCGTCACCTGGGAAGTCCTGGCTCAAGCTGTTGTCATCATAGATGCCCGCCAGGGTCTCTGAGATGCGGCTAATGCTCTGTGACAGGCCCTCCTCTTCCTCTTCCTCTTCCTCCTCCTCTTCTGGTGAGGGGCTCCCTGCTGATGAGCTAGGGTTGGAGCCTGTGGGCTCGAAGGGGTCGTATTTTTGCTCCGGGGCTGGCGGTGGGGAGTAGGCCTCGTCGGTAGGGTGGAAGGGGTCATAGATGTCGAATCGGGGGGCAGGAAGAGCTGGAGGGGGCGGAGGAGGAGGAGGGGGAGAAGGGGAAGACGAGGATGGGGAAGGGGAAGGCGAGGATGAAGCAGAGGAGGGAGCAGGTGGAGGGGCAGGCCCTCCATCCCCTGTGCCCAAGGTGAGGAGATGGCGGGCACAGGCAGGCCGAGAGGCATGAGACTGCGGAGACACTGCAGAGACAGGGCAGACAGAGTCACAGTCAGTAACTCCCCGTAGGCAGGCCAGTGCCACCACTACCTCCACCCCCGCCCTAACCCCGCCTTGACCTCATCCTGACCCTCCTCAGACCCTAATCTAGTGCTTCCTATGTGCCCTCCAAGACCTTGAGCAAAACAGGAACCGAGGAAGGCAGAACAGGCCTGTTTATCCATAGAATGAAGGAGTAGGGGAGGCTGGTCAGTGCAGTCAGAGACTGGGGTATGCAGTGCATGTGTGAGGACATCCAATATAGTAGAAAACGGGCCCAGAGGCCACACCTGAGCCCAGAAGGTGCACCCACCTAGTAATATTGCACACCACAAACTGGCCCTAAAGCCAAAAATCTGCCTTGACCAATGGCAGTGATGTCCCCACAGGACAGAAGAGCCAGCTGCCTCCTACATGAATTGAATCTGCTTTGTGAATAGGAGGCAGCTTAGATCATGAAATGGCAGAGCTGGAGGCCTGTCAAGACGAGAGTCCTTCCAAGTTTTTGGCCCCAATGGCTAGGAAACAAGAGTCACTCCCACAGGGACATGAGGGAATACTTGCCCTTCTCACAGGCCAGGCTCTACATGCCTCCTTAGTTTGGCCCTAACACACACTGCACCATGGGCACACAGGAGCAAAGGCTGGGCCTAGACTCATGATGTACCTAAGCATGGAAACCAAGACCCCACCCAGCACAGTCCTCTGAGGACAGAGACCTAGGTCACAGCTCTCTCTAGTCATGGACCACAGAGACCTGGGTCACACTCTCTAGTCATGTGACTACAGGCCTCTAGCTCAACCTGTCTGCTTTGGACCCCTTCTATGAAATCAAGAATCTGGGGCATACCTTTAATCCCAGCAAACTAGAGGCAGAGGCAGGAGAATCTCCGTGAGTTCAAGGTCAGCCTAGACTATGGCCTGAGTTCCAAGACAGCCAGGGCTGTGACACAGAGAAACCCTATCTAGAAAAACCCAAAACCAAACCAAAACTAACCTAAAAAGAACTCTGAATGGTGCAAAACCACAGTGCTAAATTCCAGAGGCTGAAGCAGGAGTGTCTGAGCCCAGAGCCTGTGAACAGCCTTAGCAACATAAAAGACCCCAATTCCAAGAGTTTTTAAAAACCATAACCACAAATGGCGGTGTTCCAAGACTAATCCCAGCACATAGGAGGGTAAGGCAGGACTGCTACAAGTCCACGCCAGCCTGGGTCACAGTGCAAGACCCCACCTCAGAAAAACAAACCAACAAACGACAAAATCACAACCTAATTTAGAGTTCCATATATACCGCAGTCAGGGTCAAATCCAGACACTCGTCTGTGTCATCCTCTGCAGCCTCTGGAGTCAGGGAGACACATGTCCCCTGTGCCTCATGGGAAGAAGAAAAGTGACAGAGTGACTGTGACAGTGCCCCTGGAGCTGATGGGTGCTGAGGTAGCTGGGCACCGACCAGGAGCACAATGGGAAGCAGACACTACCCTACACAACCACAGCACAGAATCACAATGTCAAAGCCAGAGCTTTCCCCTCAGACGCAAGCTGGTGAGGATCCCCTTCCTAGAAGATGAGTCCCCAACTCAAAGACACTATCAGTCAGCTCTGACATCTGGTATCCAGTATGCTCAATGTTCCTACATGACCAGCCCCCCCCCCCCCCCCCCCCCCCCCCCCCCCCCCCCCCCGTGCATTCTTTCTACAAGTATATGCATTAACTTGTACCTGACGTCATAACCATCCCTGCTGCCTTCACTACAAATAGCTTAACTGAGGCTAGGCTCAGCTTTGTGGGAGAATGCTGCTGAACATGTGCGAGAACCCCACAGGACAGAGCACATGTTCATTTCCACACGGCTACTACAAGACCACCCACCCAGCAGAGTGCAGCCCATGTACCTGTTTTCCCTGTCCTCCAGGCCCTGAGGCGGGGCAGAAGGCTGGGCACAGGCAGAGGCATGGGGTCCATGTTACCGATGCGGACCTCGGCCACCAGCTCAAGCACGTCTTCACTCCTGCAAAGCAGAAGAAATGGTGACCCCCGCAGTGCCACAGCTCTCAGGTTAGAGCCACCCCCACCTTTAGCTGCCCAGGCGCTTTACAGGGTTTCTCTGTAGCTTTGGTTCCTGTCCTAGAACTCGCTCTGTAGACCAGGCTGGCCTGGAACTCACAGAGATCCGCCTGCCTCTGCCTCCCCGAGTGCTGGGATTAAAGGCGTGCGCCACCACCGCCCTGCTAGCTGCCCAGGTTCTTACTCGCCAGGTCGCAGGTCCAGGCGGCTGGGGACCCAGGTATCGGGGGGATCCAGGATGTTCACCAGCCCAACAAGAAAGCTGTCTGCAGCTGTGTCCAGTACCTAGAAGGGACCAAGTTGGGCTCTGTTCTGTTAGCGTTCACATGGAGAACCTTTCTAGTTCTAGCCTCGCAGGAACCCACCAACGGCCACCCTTGATGGTCTCTGGAAGCAGCTCAGTCAGGGATCTGGTCCCCAGACTCTGATGACTACCCATTAGAGTTACTCCAGACCCAAGGGTATAGATGCCCAGTTCCTTTGTCTTGCAGGCCCCAGGATGAGGGGTCATGGACACCCTTACTCACAGTGGCTGTGTCAGCACCCCCTGACTCCTGTAAACGAGGCTCTGATCGTGGACTGCGGCAGCAGCGCCTCCATCGAAGGCCATGACACCGAGAGCCATCTGGATAAATATTGCAGTAACGTGGGACTTAACATGAGGCTTTGCAGAGCACAGCAGCCGGGTGAGCGGGACCAGACCATGTTGGCTGCACAAGTACCTACCCCTCCCAGTTAGAGAAGGACCCTAAGCTCCCCCAACTCAATCTGGGTTGAGTTCACATCCACCGGGTTACTGAAAGAGATGTCTCAGCTTGGCCTCTGAGCCCTGCCCAGCCCTGGGTCTAGACGTCTCCTGCCTCCCAAAAGTGCCCTATTGCCCTGCTCACAGCCTCTCACCAGCCTCGCAGCCATCCCCTGTGCGGCAGGTCTGCTGGCCCCTGCCAGTTAGGCTTCCCTCCAGCCGCACGCAGTCCTCCGGACACCCCCGACCCTAGCACAAGTGTAGCCCTCATGAAGCCTCAGGAAGAAGGAGGCCAAGCTGGAAAGGACTAGAGTGCCTACCTTTCTCATTAGGCAGGTCCCCCTGCAGGGCGCTCCCCACAGCCTGCTGAATGGCCCGCTGCAAAGGGGGGGGGGGGGAGTTAAAAATCAGGGATATCAGGTAAGAGACTGGAACCTCTGCTAATTGGAAGAATGTTCAAGAAACCCCACAGCCAGGCCACAGGCTAAGGCCACTTAGGGTTCCACTTCTTCCAGGTCCCAAACCCTCAGCCCCTATGCCAAGAAATGGGAACATAGGCCCCCATGCCCCACTGCCCCCAGCTGTCTTACCAGGATAAAGGCAGAAGGAAAAAGGGCAGAATCTCTGTCAGGTGGACCATCTCCTCGATCCTCTCCCGACTCCTCTGTTTTACCTCGAGACTCATCTTCCTCCTCCATGGTCACCTGGGGTTGAGGGAGGAGCAGAAGTAAAGCAAGCCCTCTGGGGCTTCTGTGCACCTCCTTTAGTGCCCCTCACTTCTACCAACTCCTGACGACCTCGGACTTGGTCCCACGCTGACCTGCAGGGACTAGAGCCATTCTCACCCTTCTGGACTTCAGCTGCCTTCCCTGTCAATGGCAGGATCCTCTGCCACAAGCTCTAACATCTAGCCCTCCACTGCCCACAAAGGCTCCTGACTTTAGGTCTCAGAGACCCACCTTCCCCACCATGAGGACCGCGCTGACATGGATCAGTAGTAGCACAGCTTCACACAGCACCCATCGTCCTCCATGGTGAGGAACCAGGGTCTCATTTATAGGCATGAAATACAACTATGATAGTATGGCCTACACAACCGCCACATTGCTTTTAAAACAAAAACGCCAAGTTTCGGAAAGGCATGCTGTCCTCCCAGCCCCATCGGGACACTTGCCTATCACCCAGCTGCCTGTCCTGTGGAAGCATGGCCAAAGCCTTGGTGATGTCACTGGAATTCTGAGCTTTGAGAGCCCAGTCAGGTGGTTGAAAGAGCATCCTTCAGACTGGTGGATGTCTTGATTGAGGCTTCAGAAAATATGGACATCACAGCTGTAAGCCTCCCCACAGCTGTCAAACCTGTGATTCTGAACACACCTAATCTTGGAATTCCTAGAAGCTCTGGGCTCTCTAATCAAACTGTGTGCTTATCTGAAAATGCCAAAATAGTAGCACCTATTACACTCATTTGCACATACAACGGCTGGATACAAATTAGCAATAATTGTATCATTAGCCCTTAGACCAGGTTCCCCCTTTTTGTCTCAGCCGGCTTCCCTGGCTGTGCACCTGCAAAGAAAAGACCTACGCCCTGGACCCAGTTCTACTATGAAACTATGCCCAGGCCTCCACAGTCAGCCTCTCAGTTCCAGCTTCTTCCCTAAATCCCACATCCAAGCTAATACTCAGGCCTTCCTACACAGTGTACCAGCGCCGAGCTCTAAGGTTGCTCCCCAGCAGTGTCTGAGACACAGATGCTGTCCAGAGCAGTGACTGTCACATACAAGAAACTCTATCAAAAGCACCTGGCCACAGACCACGGGAGATCAGTGGTCCCTCAATTATAAGGTTCTGGGAGCAATTTAGTGATTAACAGATAGCTCATTTAAGACCAGGTTTTAAATGGAAGCATGAGTTTGCGGGACTGGGGTAATACTAGTGAAATGCACATGCTGGCACACACTGAGTCTCAGCCAGCAGTGTATTTCCTCCTGCCTACCAAGGTCATGTTGCAGAGTACTGCACTAGATGAGTCCAGACAGCTCTCCAGACCCTCAGCTCTCCAGGTACTCCTCAGCCCGAGGACAACACGGGTTCTCTTTCTTTTTATTTTCTTCTTCTTCTTCTTCCTTTTTTTTTTTTGGTTAAAGCCATTTTCATTTTAATTACTTTCTGAAGGGCAAGTATATTTGAGCTGGGTAAAATGCCCAGCACTTTCTGTTGTACACGCTTATCTAGTCCCCCAAAGCACTTGAACTTGCTCCAAGACACAGTCTGGATTCTTGCAATCACATCAAAATCACCTGGATGATTCCAGTTCCTTTTAACTGCCCCACCCCTTCCCCCCTTCCCCCATCTCCGAGTCACCCTACATCAAACACTTCCCAGACCTTGGAGACCCATTTATGCCACTGGGCACATCACAATGCTTGCCTCCCTTTCCCTGAGTGGGAACACGTCTCTTTCTTCCAGGTGGCCCTTAACACTTCCTAGTCCTTGAAGAGAGTTCCCACGTCGCATAAATGGTCTCAGATCCATGTAGATAAGCAGAATGCAGAGGCCGGCACGGGTAGACACTCCCAGCCCTAACAGACATACCCCGGCGATCTAGGTGGTTCTGCAGACCACTTCACTCCTGGGACACACACCAAGATCTCAAGATGGCCCCAAAAGCCTCTCAACAGACCCTAGCCTACGGTCGCAAATAAAAACCATCTACAGCGCCTGCAGACACGTCCGTGTTCAGCAATGTGTTGGAGGGCTGACCTAGGCGCGGCCCAGGCCCTACGGACGCCCCCTGGTACCCACGGGCGCGTCCCGGGCCCAAAGAAGGCCCCCACACTCAGCGACTGCTCTGGCCGCCGCTGCCGGATCCGAGGCTGCCACGTTTTGCTCTCCAGGCCCGGTGGCGGACTGGCGACACTCGGAGACGACTAGCGACCCGACTCCGCCCCGCCCACCCCGCTAGGCCCGAGCCCCGCGGCCCGGACCGCCGCCGCCATCTTACCCCGCCGCTCGGGCTGCGGCTCCGGCCCAGGCGCGGGGCGGGGCGAACTGGGGCGGGGCTCGCGAACTGAGGAGGGGCGGGGCCAAATTGCCGCGGAGGTTCCTGGGATTTCAAGTACTCAAATAATTTCCTGAAAGCCGGCCGAATGGAGGGCGGACTCGGTTTCCCAGAAATCAAAGCGACGCGTGGAGGCGGGGTGCGCGCGCTGTACGCCGGGAGACGTAGTCCGCGAGTCAACTCCGTCACGCGGAGACAGTGTAGAGGTGAAAGGTGAAGTGGGCGGGGTTGTAGGAGCGCGCGGTGAGGCCCCCCACAGTGCCCTGCGTGCGCGGGGAAAAGGGCGGCGGATCAGGAAGTGACGTACAAAAGGCGCTCCGATGTTGAGATCCTTGGGAATTGAAGTGAACTGGACACTACCCCGCCCATATTCTGCCTTTCCGAATATGAGACCCTTCTAACTTTTTACCCCTCGAAGTCCTAAGGTTTTTTGAGAAGGTATCTATGTAGCTCAGACTGACCTGGAACTTGCTGCAGACTGTGATCCGTCACCATGCCCCGCTTAAACGATTCATTTTGGGGGTACTGGAGGTTAAATTTAGACCCTCTTACATGCTAGGCAAGCACTCTATTATTGAGCATTACCTATAGCCCTCTTTTTGTTTTTTATTTTGAGACAGGTTCATTCTAGAATGTCAAGGATAGCCTTGACTTTACAATAACCTCCACTAAATTTAGAAACAAGGCGTCAGACCAGGACAGTTAGGTCCGAAATCTGAGTCCTCTGACTTAGAACCGAAGAGGGAAAACTCATTTCCCTCCTCTCCGGGACTCGGAAATCTCAATCCTCTTCCCTAGGCCTTTCAGGGCATCAATATTATACCTTACACAAACGTAAGTGATAAACTCCTCCGCAACCCTCCCCGCGCGCACTCACGTCCTCGAACCCAGAATTCTGAGTCCCCCAGACTCTCCATCCTCGAGCCCCAAGAGTTCAGGCTCTCAGCTTCCCCAGTACCTAATCTGGTAGTAAAGAGCCCCTCCTGAACGCCTGTTCTCCCCAGGACCCGGGAATGCACGTCTCCAACTCGATGCACTAGTAGGAACCAGGTGTCTGAGTCACCACCTCCAAACCCCAGAAATCCTGGCTGTAGGCCCTTCTGGCCTCGGACTTCCCGACTAGGATGAGCTGGCTCATGAATTAGGAATGTGGTGATCTCACAGCCCGTCCTGCCCCGTTACCCTGCTGTCCCCCTCCAGGGCCCCAGCTCCTCTCCCAGACTATCTTCCGTTTGGCTGGGACATGGGGAACCGGAAGCCTGAGTCCCTTGGCGGACGAAGACTCCAGCGTCTAGACCTACGACGGGGCACAGAGATTGGCGACGATCTCAGAAAAGAGGCGGAGCTTCTTTTTCGAGACCTGTGCTTCCTAAGAGCACCCTATATACGGCCCTGAGCTGGAGTCCACGAGCCCCACCTATCAGAAATACGCTCAGGGGTGGTCCTTAGATAAAAAAAAAAAAAGAGTATATTATTTGCATATCCCCGCCCCGAAAGAACTTTTCGCCCTAAAATGGGGCTTTATTAGCATAGCTCCTCCCAAAGGCGGAATGCCTGGAGGGAGCGCGTGGCTGGGCTACGGGCGGGCACTGATCTATATTAGCATATCCCCGCCCCTCTTGGAATTCCCCTTATTTGCAAACTTGTTTTCCCAACCCTTATTAGTATAGCTCCTCCCTTCCCCTGACCTCGCCTCCTCCTGAAGCATCCGGACACGCGCGTCCGACAGACGGGAGCTCATGTTTATGCAGTATCATTAGCATAACCCACCCCTTAGTCTCTCCTGACTCCCCCAGGCGGTAGCGGCAGCGGCAGCAGCGGTGGCGACATGAGCAGCGGGGCGGCGTCCGGGACTGGGCGGGGGCGGCCCCGGGGCGGGGGGCCGGGACCCAGGGACCCCCCGCCCGGCGAGACTCACAAGCTGGTGGTCGTGGGCGGCGGCGGCGTGGGCAAGAGCGCGCTGACCATCCAGTTCATCCAGGTAGTGGGCCCTCTCCGGGGAGGGTGTCCCCGAGGAGTCCGTTGGGGGTTCCCTGAAACTTTTACTTTTCTCAGAACCATCACTGAAACTCTTCTAAACGGGTCTCTAATCCTAAAAGATCCCTGCAGGTTGCTACTCAAAGTGCCAGGACCTCCACCCACTTCCTGCGGGGGAGCCTTCTCCTCATACGTCCTGAGGCATATCACCCTCCCAGAGCTCGGTACCTGAGAGCCCTTGTTCCAGGGGACCTGGCCCTGCTCATCTCCTGGGAGGGAGTACCTAGATCTCTAACAATTGCTCCATTCAGATCCTAAGCACTCCCTGAGTCCCCGATCCCAGAACCCTGTCTGTCTGAAGTCCCAGCTTCTTCACCCCTTAGCCACTCAAGAGCCCCACTGGCCCAGCAGCTGCGCTCAGGACTTTTGACTTTCCACAACTGGAACCCTGGTCCTTCTGTTCAGGGACCTCCCCCAGACTTTGGAAATCTTTGCCAAGATCGTGATTCTAGGACTCTACTGGGTCTGCGCAGTCCTAAGAAGCACCCTGTAACCCCTGCTTGAAGAGGATTTCCCCTCCGAGCTTAGGAAGATTCTGCCACATGACTAGCCTTGGAAAACGCCAATATCTGGCAGTACCATATTCTGCTAAATGCAGACCCTCATCCTCCTCCCCACCCCCAAGGAAAACCAACCATTTCTCCACCCTAAATTCTCCACTCTATTTCAATGCCCTGCCCTCACCCTCACCTCCGGTAACTCTGGATAGCTCCCAAGTCATCTCCACGTCAAAACAAAAACAAAAACAAACAAAACCCTCAGGTTTTTCACAACTTCCAAAGACCTAATACTTGGAAGGTTTAGGACCCTTGAATGCACCTCTAGGTCTCCTCAACATCGTAAGCCTACCCTCCAAGAATGCCCCAGGCTGTGAATGCCCCAGGCTGTGCCCATCCTTGAGCGGCTCCCCACACAAACCAAGCCGCATCCTTCCTAGGCTCTGCGCCTACACCCCTCCAGCCCCAGCCCTCAGCAAACAGTCTCCAGAGAGGAAGCCACCTTCAGCCCCAGCAGCCAAGTTCTGAAAATCCAGCCCAGCCCCGGAAACCTCCACCCAGTTCCCACGGGTGGCCCCCCCTTCCCCCTCCCAAGGCAACACTAGGAAAGTGAGAGTCCATTTACTGCTGCACTAGAGGTTCCTGGGTAGTAGACACACATGCAAGGCGCCTCCAGCTGTGCCTTTGAGAAGCCTACAAGGGAAGGAAGAGCCCAAATTTGAGCACTTGGCACCCAGGGCCAAACCCAGAGTTGGCCAGAGTCGCAGGACCCAGGCAGGAAGGGAGGGGCGGGTTGAGGGTGGGGCGCCTCTCCGAAGCAGGATTGGAACCTAGACTTTCCCCAGGGAGGAGACGCTGGAGTCTGCTTATGGAGGAGGGAAGAAAGATGGGGGAGGAAGGGAAGAGAGATGGGCAGGATAGGCAGTTACTTTGGTCAACAAGAGCTCTCAGAAGCTGATGGCTAACTATCACCAGGCAAGTGTGAAATGTTGAGCAGAGAATTCCTGCAAATCAAACGCTGAGATGGTTCAGTGCTTTCATCCTCCTTCTCCAAAAGAGGAAACTGAGACTCTCGGAGGGAGAGTGACGCAGCCGAGGGGGGTTATGGCAAAGAGGACACTTTATACAGAAGAAAACGGGCTGAGAGGTCATGCGGGCGGGCATTGGTGACTGGGGACAGTCAGTCAGAAAGATGGAATCGGAACGCTAGAGAGGCAGGACAGAGACCCAGAGAGGGACAGAAGGGAAGATCTAGGGACAGGGCTCACGCGTGCATTCACACACACAGAGTCACAGAGTGCTTTGGTGACAGTGACCTCTCTGTCCCGCAGTCCTACTTCGTGTCTGACTATGACCCCACCATTGAGGATTCCTACACAAAGATCTGCTCTGTGGATGGCATCCCCGCAAGGCTGGACAGTAAGGACGGCTGGGCTCGGATGGGAGGCAGGTAACTGGGCAGCCTGGGACCCACATATTCCTCTCCCTGTCTCCGCAGTCCTGGACACTGCAGGTCAAGAGGAATTTGGTGCCATGCGGGAGCAGTACATGCGTGCTGGCAACGGCTTCCTGCTGGTGTTTGCCATCAATGACCGGCAGAGGTGAGGGCAGGTGCTGGGAGACCTGGCTGAGCACGGGGCAGGTTCCTCCCTGAGGCGGCCTCACACTACCGGCTTCTCTTGCAGTTTCAATGAGGTAGGCAAGCTCTTCACTCAGATCCTCAGAGTCAAG